CTGTGGTTTATTACCGTATATTATACTAGTATTGTTTACAAATATTTCTCGTGATGTGATTGTTCGATGTATCGTTTTTAGATGTGTTCTAATGGCTCCTTCTCTTCTGTGCATAGTAAGACGACGTGATAGGGATGTATTTGTCACTTCATTATATGAATGTGGCTGACGAGTGCATCCGTCAAGAGGGCAGTTGAATTCATATATTAGATGATTTCATTCCAAGGTTGAATTTTGTGGAGGCGTGCAATTATTCTTTATTATAAGGTTTTCCGTTTTTGCATTCTGATAATAAACTCAAGATTTACTTTATTGTCTTTAATTCTAGGCTTCACGTTTTTGAAAAAAATTTTCTTTAGAACAGATTCGTCTGTTATAGGCCCACCGGTTATAACTGGTCGTTGTCGTCAGGATGGGTGTCCAGATGTAAAAACTTTTCCCCAAATTATTACTATGCCATCACAAAAAAAAACAACGGCCCCTAGTCCCCCAGCAGGCCTTAAGTGGTCAAGGGGTGCCAAGAATCCCTGGGAAGTATGCAATAGCGGAGGGATGTTGCAGAAAAATTCAGAATGGCCCCTCTATGGTACTTAGACTTGGAACGCTCAATGTTGGATCACTGACTGGCCGCAGCATGGAAATCGCAGAAATGGTCGAGCGTAGAAGGATTGACATCTGCTGCCTTTGGGAAATCCGATGGAAATCGAATGGTGTCTGTCATGTCAACTCAGACAAAGAAAAATATAAACTATTCTGGAATGGTCAAAAGACGGCCAAAAATGGTGTTGCCCAAGAAATACAGGATATTAAAAGGATTAATTCACGTCTCCTGTGGATCAAGCTTCGCCTAGAAAAGCAAACAATGATTTTTTTTTCTGCATACGCACCACAGACAGGCGAATCAGAAGAGATGAAAAATGACTTCTGGGCTGCGTTCTCTGACACCATCTCAACAATACCAAAATCTGAAACAATCCTGATTGGAGGCGATCTCAATGGCCACATTGGAGAGAAAACAGATGGTTTTGACAACGTACATGGCGGTTTGGGCTATGGAGAACGGAAGGAAGATGGCAACCACATCCTTGAGTTTGCTGAAAGTTACGGGTTTTGTTTACTGAACATATATTTCAGAAAGAGTTTGAAACATCTCATAACATACAAAAGTGGACCATCAGCCATGCATATTGATTTCTTCGTTGTCAAGCAACAACACCGAAGGCTATTCAAAAATGTCAAAGTTATACCTGGCGAATCATGTGTCGCCCAACAAAGACTCCTTGTGGCAGACCTGATTGTTGAATTGTCAAAACATAAGTCTAAACAAATGCCTCGGAGAATCAAAACGTGAAAGCTGAAAAGCTATATACATTGACAAAAATTTCAACAGATTATTGCAACACAGTTAGACCACCAATCGCAAGCCAGTACAGATTGGAGTATATACAAAAACGTTTTGATAAACGCTGCAACTACATTTTGTAGGAAAACTGGTACAAAACGTCAGCGTGAACTGGACACTTGGTGGTGGATTGACAGTGTACAAAATGCAATAGCTGAAACATACAAGCAATGGCAAAAATCAAAGTCTGTTGTTAATCATAAAATTTTCCGTGAGAAGAACAACTATGCAAGACGTCAAGTCGCACTGGCTCGGACAGATCAGATCAGTGCATAGAGTAGCTCACTAAAAGCAAAGATGAACAAATGAAATCTCTGTATCGGATAGCAAAACAAGCAAAGCGTACGAAAAAAGACATAGTTGGTGCCTCATGTATCAAAAACGACAAAAATGAGATAGTTCTTGAACAAGATAAGATCAAGCTACAGTGGAGAGAATACTTCAACCGTTTGTTAAATGAAACAAATTTCATCAATGTCAACTTTGACGCTCCATCCATCAAAGGTCCGATTCTAGACATCCTTGTAGAGGAGTTTACAGAAGCTCTGAAAGCTATAAATAATGGAAAGGCAGCATGGCCTTCTGGAATCACAAATGACATTATCAAAGCATCTGGTACTGCAGGTATCCAAACGTTACTACAACTTTGCCGTGAAGTGTGGAGAAATTGCTCAATGCCGACTGAATGGAACTACAGTTCCGCTATACAAAGGCAAAGGTGATCCATTGAACTGTTAATTATGTTGGGGTATACGTCTGTTAAAACACTCCCTGAAAATTATCGAGAAAATTATTGAGAGAAGATTAACGTCGTGCATCACAATCGGAAATTATCAATTTGGTTTCCTGGCCGGGAAATCAACAATTGATGCAATTCACATCCTTGTGCAGTTTGCAAGAGAAGTACTTCGCAAAGCATCAATAACTATCACACATTTTTGTAGACTTTGAAAAAGCATTTGATCGAGTTCCCGTGAAGCACTCAGGTGGAGTCTACGTCGACAACTCATTCCAGAATATCTTGTTCGACTTGTGATGGAAATGTATACTAATACTAATCGTCGTTGAAGTTCACCAAGGCTCGATCCTTAATCCACTGTTATTTATAACTGTGATGAAAGAAATCACAAAACCGATACAAACTGGTGACATTTGGAATATAATATATGCTGATGATGTCGTTTTAAAAGCCACGTCTGAGCAGAATCAACACAGATGTTTGATGATTAGAACACCAGACTCACCGATCATTGATTCAAATTCAACATCAGCAAAACCAAAGCAATAAACACTGGTAAACCCATCTAATTCACAGCTACTGGACAATGGTAGGTAAAAATTCAATCAAGTGTCAGCAGTGTAACCATTGGTGTCACAAACGTTGTTCAAAAATAATTGGTACTCAATCTAAAGTGTCCAATTTCTGTTTGTCCTGCTTGCATCAATCTACAACAACAAATTCGAAATAGCAATGTTTTTGATGCTATTAAGGTAGAGAAAGTTACATCGTTTCAATATTTAGGGTATGTTCTGGATTGTACTGGAACAGCTGAAGCTGCCGTTCGAGCACGCATACGTGTAGCCTGAAATAAATGGCATCTCCTTGCCTCTATATGGATGCGGCGTGACATACCACTACTACTACAATCAAGACTTTATAAATCTGTGATACGTCCGGTTCTGTTATATTGTGCAGAAACATGGCCAATGACAACCAAACTGGAACAACAACTTCAACGAACCGACATGAAAATGCTCCGATGTATGCAACGAGTTAGTCTGAAGGACCACATAAAAACTACCGAAATCCTTCGTCGTGCAGGTTTAGATGATATAAAGGACGAATGCCGGCAACACCGTCTGCGGTGGTTTGGTCATGTCAAACGAAGTGGAAACAGTGCCATAACTTCTCTTGCAGATGTTAAGTACCTGTTACACGCCCCAAAGTCCGTCATAAGAAGTCCTGATCGCAAACAATTGAACAAGACATGAAAGCTCCAAATTTAAATGAAATGGATACAACTGATCGTCTAATTTTGCGCAAAAAATTGATGACAAAGAAAACAACGTCCTACCTCAGGAAATTGGGTCTCTGGACGCTAAACGAAGATTGATAGATTGATTGTTGTGTCATATATACAGTATGCAAAGGATAGCATTCTTATGATTACATATATTATTATTATAGTATCAATATTCTTGTTTGATAATGGAATGTTTACAAAACAACGCAAATCTATCGTAAATTGTGGTGTAATGTGTTTGTGTGTGTGTGTGTGTGTGTGTGTGTGTGGTGTATGTGTTTGTGTGTGTAAGAAAAATACCATATATAACACAAAACACATAATTGTATTAATTCTACCGAATAGTTGGCATTCTCTGATTTAAAGTTTTTTTTTATTTTATTCAGAAAAGCTTTTTTCATTAATCCTTATTCATTGGTTCTAACGGATCACTTTGTATTGGCCCATTAGTTTTTTTATTAATAATTTGTTTGTTGGTAGCAGATTTATGGCATTCTTTTGGATATTTTTTGCCCTAACCCCAGGATGTTGAATTGGCAAAGGTGTTAACAGCTTAAAACTTGATTCACCTAAACTAGTGGCGTGAACAAAACGCGGTTAAATATTAATAAAAAACGAATGTAAATTTAAATGATAAATTATTTACACTGAATAAGATTTTTAGGACAATCGGTACACTATTCTAAAATATAATTTTAAGAAAATAACAGTTTTACACGCATAAAAATAAATCGACTAAAGTCAATAACGACCAACGAAACAAATGACATTTGATCCTAAATTTTACTCAATGTAAAATTGACAAACCTTTTTAACTTTTAGTACTTTATTACCGTTAGTTTACATGTTTTAGATATATTAACACAAAAATATGATTTTTCAGTACTTATTCATTTTTTTGTCAATTTAACTTACTACTTATATTTTTTATTAAATTTTTTTTATAGCCTAAAATGTTTTTGTTTAATAATTACAGGAATTTCAAATAAAAAAAATATTTAGTACGATGTTGAGTCAAAAGTTGCAAGACTATGAAGAAGATTTGAAAGCTCTAGCAGATGTGATAACAATTGCAACAGTTGAAGTCTATAAAAACGTTTCTGCTAAATTACTGCCAACGCCGGCTAAACTACATTATGTTTTCAATTTGCGAGACGTTTCGAGAGTTTGTATCAATTTGTTATTTAAGATTTGTTCAACTTTTTTTTTACTTTAATTAATTAATTAATTTATTTAATTTTAATTTTTTAAGGTATTCTCGGGCATGATGCGAATCACAAAAATGTACCACGACAGTAAAATTATTTTATGTAGGTTATGGATCCATGAATGTTTCAGGTTTTCTGAATTGACTATATAGTAAAATTTGTTAATAAAAATATTTACTTTCAATCAAATTTCAGAGTTTTTCATGACCGATTAATTAATGAAAAAGATCGAGAAATTTTTGTGAGCATTTTAACTGAAAAACTTGGAACAGTTTTCGATTTAACCTACCACAATATATGCAAGGACAAGATACCTCCTGTGTTTTGTAAGTTAAATTTTTTTCAAAGCATTATTTTATGTTCAACTTGTTATCTCGTTTTTTTTAAGCAGATCAGCTTTTCTGTATATATTTTGATTATTACAACTCTTTAAAAATATACAAATATGATGTCATTTCACCAGTAGAATTTTTATCAATAGAAATGTATTTAAATAAATTTTAGGTGATTTTATGAACAAAGACAAAATATATGAAGATCAGTCTAACTTTACTTTATTGAGACAACATTTAAAAGAACAATTGAATGAATACAACAAACTGCATAGGAACATATATATGGACTTGGTTCTTTTTAAAAATACTATTGAACATGGTACTGAATTATTGTTTCATTTTTTTCTCTTTTTTAAATTTTAAGTTAAAATTGGCAGTGTCAAGGATAGTTCGTGTGGTCAGCAGGCCTCGTGGAAACATGTTGCTAATTGGAATTGGAGGGAGTGGTAAAAAATCTTCTGCAAAATTTGCAGCCTTTTTGTGCTCATACAATATATTCTACTTTGATGTTAAAAAAAATTATACGTTGGAAAATTTTAGAGAAGGTTAATTTCTGTCGTTTTGGATGAAAATATTGAAGTCTTAGGTTGTTTTGTTTCATTTTGTAATGTCAAGCTCAGGCCATTTCGTTTTGGGTCGATGACAATTTTTTTGACAAATGAATGAAATTTCTAAAATATTTTGCTATAATAAAATAACTGTGATCAAATTAATTCCATTGAAAGAAATAGTGGCATACATATGTGGACAGAACAAATGAGGAACTGATCAAAATAATGAATATATTTTGAAAAATCCTTTCCTAAACATTATTTCTTGATTTTGATTTAGTAGATTTACTATTTAAGTGAACTGATTGATAATAATTTGTGCGTTTACTATAACAGATATTAAAGAAGTGTATAAACAAGCAATTTTAAGTAACAAAAAAATTTTGGTTCTCTTGATGGAAAATGCTATAGGGGAAGACAGTTTTATGGAAGATGTAAATAATTTGTTAACTTGTGAAGATGTTTCTGATTTCTTTTCCCAAGCAGAACTTCAGCAAGCTAGTGTTTTATGAGTTTATTTACAATGAACGAATTCTCTTTTATATTTATATAAATGTGTATTTCAACTATAACGATTTTTTGATTAAGATAAAAGCAACTCTTCTGGAAGATAAATCAAAGGAGTCGTACAATTTTGTTGGTCAATCATTTCACAGTTTTATCATGGACAGATTACATAATAATTTGCATATTTTGTTAGGGATGTCTCCAATTGGAAAAAGATTTAGGTTTTTTAACATTTCCATTCAAAATTTTTACTACATTGGTATTCAACATTTTAATATATGTCATTGTGTTCCAAATTTTTAAAATGTACAGGCTGTGCTGTAGTCCAACTAATCTTTGCGCAAGCTAACATCAAAATGTTATAAACTAGCACATTCCATATAAATATTTAAACCTAATTATTAAGTACGCCAATCCGAGATCTTCAAATTTTTGAAAATATGTACCATAACCATAACAAAAAGAACACACAATAAGACGTCATATAAAATGTAATAGATTATTAGTAGGTTTTATTTGTTATAGGTGTTCTCAAAAATGCGTGTTTCCAGATTTTTTCCAAGCAATGTCATTGCTGTTCAAACTTTGCAAGTCGTCACTATCACACTTCTTTCATCGACTACCGTTCGCACTCTAGGAATCAGCGCCATACCATCCGTTGCTGATCTAAAGCATGAATTCGACCCTTTTTATTGTTTATTCATCGTTATTTGTGTTGTATTTTTATCCACAAGTGAATAATTTAATTGTAAAAACAAGCAAAATAAAATTCATTGTTATGGCGTAAAGTTCAACCAACATTACTCAAAAAATTATGTTAGGAGCAAAACATAGCTTCACTTCACCATAAATCAGTTTTTTTAATATTATGTATCCGTAACTTTTGTGATTATTTGAAATTAAGAAAGATATATGAATTTCCAAATTTTTATTTTTTAAAGCGAAACAAAAAATAATACAAACAAAACTAAAAAATAATAAAATATTTGGTAAACATCAGTTGAAGTTAAAATAACTCTGAAACTAATATACCCTTCAATACAACCAGAATATGCGAGAGCACTAAACGGACCTTGGGTGCATCCACATTGACATGTACTGGTATTTCAATTCATGTTCGGTATTGGTGATAATTATTATATGATGTTTCTTTACTTTAATGAGTCGCATTCATCCGCGCGCTTAGATGTAAGTTGCATAGTTGTTAGTCATTTATATTGTTTAAATATTGCCTGAACTCAACTTTTTTTTAACCAGGTTTAGGTTTCTTTGAATAACTTTTTTTTATCGTTACGGTTTTAAATAGTGTTGGCATTTTTTTGCGGTAAGGGCAGAATGGAAACAAAACCACTTCAGTCGATAAAATATTTGCTGAACTTTTTATTTTGCAATTTATTTTACATTTTTATTATTTCATTTAACAGGATTTTGTTGCTGCTATATTACAGCGATCATCATTATTTTTATTTACCAGTTTATTTTATATCATAAATCTTAATTTTCTATCTTAATCTACATTTTTTATTTTTCAATATATGAAATTAATTTATGGTCATAACAAATGCTTAAGTCGTTTTATCATTTATTAATACATTAGAAACAGGATGAGAATGTATCCTTCATTGATAAATCTGGCAATTATTGATTGGTTTGGCGATTGGCCCCCAGAAGCTTATTTGGAAATAGCTGAAAAATATATTGACGACTGGCAATTTTATGATGAGCATGAGGTAGGAAACAATTCCTAAATAATGTTAACATACGTTTTAAAAAGTTTAATAAATGTTTGCTTATTTTACAGTTTAAGTTGAAACCTTCTCTAGCCAAAATGTTTGCTTACATGTTCAGCTCTGTTTCACTATTTGCCCAAAAATCTAAAGATGAATTCAGAATTAATATATATGTTACTCCAACTGTATATTTTGAATCTATGGAATGTTATAAAACGTAAATTATTCAAAAGATTTTTTCGTTTGTTTTCATGATATTATTTTTTGCGTTTAACTTCAATTTAAATAGTTTATTTCTGCAAAAAAAAGAAGAACTTCTTGGCAATGCAAACAAATTGAAAAACGGTTTATGGAAAATTGATGACACCAAATTCAAAGTAGAATCAATGACTACAGAATTGGTGGAAGCCAAAAAATCTGTCGAACATTTTCAAAAACAGTGCGAAGAATATCTTGCTTCAATTGTGCAACAGAAACGAGAAGCTGATGAACAAGCAAAGGTTAGATTATGTATTACGATTTGAAGATTATAAAGAGGTAACTGGAGCTTCGCCCAATACATTTTTTCGACCGAACGATGATTTGCTCGTAAATGGTTCTAGTTTGTCATCACCTTTTTGGGTTTCAGCAAAAATACTTTGTTGTTTGGAGATTTGAACTGTTTTATTCTTCTTGTCGCAGCATCATTGTTTTTGATCTTGCTGATTATTTTTAGTGTTAAAATGACCATTTTCTTTTTTCTGGTTGTTTTTTTTGTTACAAATTTTGTAAAATTGTTCAGCAATTCTGTTTCTCATTTCAAAATGTTGTTGTGCATTACTTCCTGTTTTGCCATAATTTGTTTTCATCCTGTAATCTTCATCTCTCCTGATCTTTGCATTAAAAACAACATAATGGGATACAAATGTTAATTGTTCAATCCTTGAGATTGCCTGACAAACCTCTAGTCAATTCTTTTTCAAGTAGCTTACATGCTATGTCTTCAAACTTGAATTTTTTAGGAAGATAGTTTTGGGTCACTACTGCCAAATATACACTGTTGGTGTGATCAAGTTCAGGGTCGGAAAATAGGATTTACTCTTCTTTCTTTCTCTTCTTAAATTGTTGTTGAATGTTGAACCATTTGCCATTGAAAATTGCTAATTTGTTTTTTTCTCCTTTCTTTTTTTGCTGACGATGATGGTTATCTTTTCGGCGTTGATTATGACGACAGTGATAAATTTTTTTCTCGTAGCTGATGATGATGTCGACAACAAAAATAATATTCATTCTAACGACCAACTTGGTGAATAGATTTTCTTCAATCAGCGAAATATATTCGAGTCTAGGGTCGCCAGTTGTCGCAAAATGTTCGAAATTTCAAATTCGAATTAAGGTCGCTAATTGTCGAAAAAATTCGAGTTTTCACTTTAAAGAAAATAATGAACTGCGTGCGAGATCTTTAAATTATTTTATTAATGGCAAACTGCATTAGAAAAAAAAGTTAGTTTTAAAATCAATCATCACAAAAAACCAACATGGCTACAAACTAACTAACTCGGAAATCAACTAACTAATTACCGCAGGTAGTTAGGCAGTTAAACTAGAAAAAGGACGATTCGGTCGTAACATTAAAGTACCGAAAGAAGTAATTAAGTGAGCACTTAGGAAAGGCCGGGTTGAAGAATGGTGGGTAGACATAGTGATGTGTATGTATAAAAAAGCCGGGACGGCGGTAAGAATTAAAGATAGTGTAGGCAAGTGGTTTGATGTTCAGGCAGGTTTACATCAAGGCTCGGCGCTAAGTCCTCTACATTTTATTATAGTAATCGAAATGATTAGTAGGAAGATCAGAAGTGGGTTGCCATGGGAAATTTAAATGCTGATGACCTGGTTCTTATGGCTGAGAAAGAGGAAGAACTGAAAAAAATATCCAAATATGTGGAAATTATCCATGGAATGAAAGAAAGGGTTTAAAAATAAATGTTGGTAAGACCAAAGTTATGTGGAGCGAAGAGGGTTGAAATACTCTTGAATGTGGTAAATTTTCTCTGTGCTGTGTTAGTAAAGAGGTTGGAGGAAATTCAATACTATGTGTAAAATGTGATAAATATACTGACAAAAAATGCAGTGGTTTTATAGGAGACCTCAATAAAAGCAAGGAATTTGTTTGTAAGCAATATAAGTTGAAAGAAACTAAGCAAAAGGGTGATACTGGGTACCTGGAATATTTGGGATTTGAAAAGGATTTGTTATCTAGGTGATATACTAAGTGAGAATGGTGGATTAGATAGAGCAGTCTAGAATAGAATAAAAGTAGGATTGATGCAATTCAGAGAAATGAGAAAAATGACTTCAGTGCTGTGTTCTAGAAGTACGCCATTGGGCCTGAAGAGTAAGGTATATAAAGCATGTGTAAGAAGTTGCCTGTTGTATGGATGCGAAACTTGAGTTATGACGGCTGAAAACTTTATAAGACTGGAGAGAACAGAAATGCAGATGTTGAGAAGAATAATGGGAGTATCCTTGAGGAATGGTCTGAATAATGAGATAATAAAGAAAGGGTTGAGGATAGATGAGTTGTCAGATTTAGTTAGAGGTATTAGACTGAGATGGTTCAGTCATGTGAAAGGAAAGAAAATGAAGACTGCGTAAAGAAATGAAGAACTATTATAACTGGCGGTTTAAGGAAATGTGGCATACCCAATCTCACCTGGAAAGAAGTGTTGTCACGGGACATGAGGGCACTAGTCCTGAAACCAGAATTAGCCCAAAATTGAAAAGAATGAAAAAGACGGTTAAATGTGCGTGATTATGCGACAAGGATAACGCGGAATTTTTGTGAGCGAACCCTGAAACGAACACTGAGCGGCTCTGTTTCTAAGAGTGGCTTTGGGCACATGGTTATAGTGGACACCTGGGAAATTTGAAATTTGAAAGAGTGTTTTGAAAGAGAGTTTTTATCTAGGTTTATTTTTATTTATTTTAAAGGAATGTTATTTTTATTTTTATCTTTATTGTTTTTTATCTTTTGTTATCTAGGGCATATACTAAGTGAGAAGGGTGGAATGGATAGAGCGGCCTGGAATAGAATAAAAAAAAGATGGAAACAATTCGGAGAAATGAGAAAAATGACTTCAGTGTTGTGTTCTAAGGGTATACAATTAGCCTGAAGGGTAAGGCATATAAAGCATGTATAAGAAGTTGTCTGTTGTATGGGTGCGAAATATGGGTTATGACGGCTGAAAACTTTGATTGGGGTTGCCTCCTAGAGTTGAGCGCCTATAAACGTACAATGATTATGGTGATGATATATATATGATTGCTCATTGTTTAAAGGCTGGTCTTGCTGTTGCTTTGACTGGGTTCGAATACAAAGATCCCCGCCTATCATATGCAGTGTGCATGATGCGTGGTTTTCACGCGTATTCATTTACTCTGTGTGCTTGTCATTGATACCTCTGAAGCAAGTGAAAAAGAGAATGACTTTTAATCTTTTTTTATATACGCGACGAAGTTAAATTCATATTTAGTCAATTTTGAAATTGGCTTAAAGTTGTTTCGGCAATGTTGCCATCATCAGAGCCATTAATTATTGCTACAATCATATGCATTTTAGATTATTTAATGGTAGAATCGAAATTTGAGAGTTAATAGCATTAATATATATGTAATATAGGAAAGTTAATTTATAAGATATTCGAACAAACGTCATCAGCATATATACATCTTCAATCAACCTTTTTTCCGGTTTGTGTGGTCTTTTCAGCCGTGATATATATAGTTAATTATGATATTGAACAGAAGAAGTGCAAGTTGGAACACAGTTTCAATATTAAATTGCTCGTTTTTTCAATTCTAACGCATGCCAAGATAGTGACGTAAAGATTTTTTAACAGTCTGATTATTTTTTTTGTCTTCTACAATTTTCCAAAGTGCTACATGCTCCCAACTCTTCACAGAATAACTTGCTTGCGCCAGATTACCGAAACACAACACCACATGTTTTTGATTTATTTTCAGTAATTTGTTCAAGGAGAAAAATCTAATTTCGTTCTTTTCTAAACTCGCATTGGTTTTCACTTCATGTTTTTGTCTGTTGATTTTAATTAGAATTAGTCATGCAATTATTTTTATCTTTTTGACTTTAATAGCTTTTTTAATTTTTCAACTGTTATTTTCTCTACCATGTCTTCCTTAGTATTGGCAGAATTTTCTGCTTAGTACTGTTTTGTTAAAATGTCATGTCTTCCAACTGTTTAGCAATTTCAAGTTTTTCCATTTTATTAATTTTTTTATATTCTTTCTAAATATTAATAGTAAAATATTTTCATCTGTACCCTATTTAAAATGTGATAACATTTTTATTAAATTTTATGATCAGAATATTTTCAAAATTATATGGTCATTTGTCTTAGAATATAAATAATAATAATAAGTTTGAGTGGTTGTTCATTTTGTTTTTTTTTAATACTTTTAATTTGGAAGTTGGAAATTTTATTCCGTTACTTCTTGACCTTCTTTCAAATTTTTGAAAACTTTTATTTGCCTGTTAGTTTTGATAACAGATAAAAAGATGTTGATACATTTTTTGCAATATTTCAGTTGAGTCTTTGCATACATGTAATAAATATGTAATAATATATAAGCAAAATAATGTTTGATGTGTAAAATACTTTTTTATGGAGTTCCAATTTCGTTTGATTAATCCACATTTAGCTTTGAATATTGTTTTTATTTTGTTCCTGTATTACGCATCACGCATAAAGTTTATACAATTTCTATAATTTCTGAAGCCCATAATAATCTCATTTTTAGTCAGTTGGTCAGAAAAGTGAAAAAATTGTAGAAGAAGAACTGAAATGCCGCAAAATGGCCGAAGTTGCTCAAGCAGATTTAGCAGAAGCAATGCCTGCTCTTGATGAAGCTAAAAAAGTGATCTCAATGAAATATCTTGAATACATTATTGATTTTCATTATTTCTAAATAAATGTTAAAGGCATTGGAAGCGTTGAATAAAAAGGATATTACTGAAATTAAATCATACGGTAAACCACCAATGCTGGTTGAAAAAGTTTTAGAAGCTGTCATGATATTGAGAGGTAATGAACCTACTTGGGTAGAAGCCAAAAGACAGCTAGGTTTATTACACTTTTCGTTTATCAAGGATTAAATGTGTCATGAAATTTTGAATATTATTAAAATTGTATTACTATTTTACATTTTATTATAGTCACAGTTTTTTGATTTAGTTTTACTTTTGAAATATAATACAGATTAGTTACTCGTTCATAAACAAAAATTTGTTTGACTAGATTTTCTTACTGACTGCCTTAAGTCAGTTGCTCTTCTTTTAAAACACTTTTTTTGTTACTATGGAGCTCATAATCACAATAGATAGTGTTTTGAAAGAAGCAACACAAATTACCTGTAAGCGTAGTATCATAGTTTTCGACTTATCAAAGTCTCATATATAAGTAGTGAGAAACGTCTTTTTTAACCCCTGCTGTCTAGTTAAATTATACAGCTGCCAGTCCGATTTATTATTTATTAGTGTTAGTCATCTCGAAAGCTACAAAGGTCAATTTAAAAAGTAAAAGGTACACTCCACTTGCCCTGTCATAAAGTGTATTAATTGCGTGGACCCTTTTTGTGATTTTTTTACTTTTTTTCAATTTCCAACATTTCCGGGTTATGGTTTTTGTTAAAATGATTTTTCAGAGAGACTTCCAGCCTATACAGAAGTTCCATTGGTTGCTTCTTCTAACCTTAACCCATTATCAAGCCTGTGACAACATAAAGCATATGACGCATTTTGCAAGTCAATCCAGGTGCAAATTTGCCTGTAACTTAAAAAGATAAAGTCAAAAATAATAAAAGGATTTTTATTATGTTTTTTAATCTATATATTAGAGAGTTTAACGACATCATCTCAGAGAGTTTAACGACATTATTTTGCTACTACGTTAGAAGTATTAAAAGTAATAAAAATTTTAAAATAAAACAATGTTTTTATCATAAAATAAAAAGTGTAGACCTAGTTCCTGTACTATTACTATTAAGGTTTTATGCAATTCCATGTTCATGTGAATACATTTCATTGAACATGGAATAGCATAAAACCTTAATAGTAATGTGTCAGTAGTGTGTATGGAATATTACCTGTCAATAATGTCACGACGAACACTAAACATCTTTAAATTGGTATTTGGTTGTTACTCTATTGCTGTCCAGTGTTTTTTCAAACTAACTAATTTTTTAAGTTCTTATGGATGCCAGGAGTTAAAAACGGCTAACATCGGACTCTGGAATAGCAAATATTATATAATGTATAAAATTTATTTAAGTTTGAGGTAGTAAGAAGAGATAAAGATTAAATTAAATATCAAGTCAATTAAGTTATATTAAATCTTTTAGCTTGTTGAATTTTAAAAATTATTTTCATTCTAAAGGAGACCAAAATTTTATCAAACAATTGCTCAATTTTGATGTTGACAACATATCGGATCGCTGCCTCAAAAAAATATCAAGTTATTGCATTCAATCAGATTTTCAGCCGGAAATTGTTGGCAGAGTTTCGACAGCAGCAAAGTCTCTCTGTATGTGGGTGAGAGCCATAGAACAATATGCAAAAATTTATCGAGTAGTTGAACCAAAAAGACACAGACTTGCAGTTGCTGAGGGTCATTTAAAGGAAAAGATGAATTTACTACAGGAAGCTAAAAATAAGTTAACAGAGGTTTGTTGCATTGATTTATAAAACTTGCTAAGATATTTGAAATGATAAGCAAGTTTTAATAAAAATAATTTAGTGATTGTAAATTTTAAGAAAATTATTGAAACGCTTATTACTACTGAAAGTTTAACAAAATTTTGCGTTACATTTAGTTTTTTCAAACATTTATTCACAAACATTAAAAATAATTAAAACAAAAATGTCACGATAAATCTTTTTTGTTGTATTTTGATTATGGCTGTCACATATTTCTGTTTGAGGACATATATGAAACGGTTTTTTATTTTTAAATATTTCCTTCAAGTGTATGAAATGTGAAAACTTTCAATTTAGGCTGCACATTAAAGTGATTAGCACATTTAACTGAGTTTGAAGCAACTCGATCAAAGGCCTACGATGTCACCAGTGGGGTCACAAACGATGCTCGAGAATTACCGGCTCACTGAGTAAAGTGACTGATTTTGTATGTCCCGCCTGCATCAACCCGCAACAACGGAGCCCAGATAATGATACGATTACCGGGATCGAAATTGTTACTTCATTTCAGTATTTGGGAGATGTGCTGGATTGTACTGGAACAGCTGATGCCGCCGTTCGTGGACGCATACGTGTGGGGTGGGGCAGATGGCACCTCCTTGCCTCAGTACTGATGCGACGTAGCATTCCTCTACCGCTGCGCTCAGAGCTATACAACACAGCTTTACGTTCTGTTCTGATGTGTGGTGCAGAGACGTGGCCGATGACAACAAAACTCGAACAGCAGCTTCACCGAACTGACATGAGGATGATTTGTTACATGCAACATGTTGACGTAAAGGACCATATCCATACAACCGATATCCTGAACCGTTCGGGACTGTGCACACTGAAGGATACATGTCGTCATCATCGCCTACGAAGGTATGGCCATGTGAAACCAAGCGAAAACAATACAACAAATTTTTGTTACTGAGCACTGGCACCCGCCCAAGAGGTCGCCCGAAAAAGTTCTGGACGCAGACCATACAGGATGACTTGAAGGCATTTGTTCTCAAGGAAACATACGCAATGGATAGATCGGCTTGGAGACAGAAACTGATGAATGGAATAAAAAAAAGTCCGACCCATAACGGAAGGAGACTATAAATGAGGATTGATTGATTGATATGCTGCACATTAAAGGACTGCTCGCCGATCAGTTGAATTATGGTTTTTCTAAACTTAAAAATGTTCACTGTTTGTCTAAATTTTGGAAAGGAATAGTTTTTTTTAATTTAATTGGAGTTTTTATTTTACATTATTTTTTCCTTAAAAATATAATTTTCAAAAATTATTATAAAATTTACATTACTGCTTTTTGCAATAAAATTGATTGTTAAATCAGCAAATTAGTTTATAAAAAGTTTTAATAATGCAAGGAAAAACTATGGTTATGCTTATCTGAATCTTGAATTACGATATTTTGTTACAAATCTTTTGCTTTTTTTTAGATTGAATCGAAAATGGCTGAATTAAAACAGTCTTACGATAATAAAGTTCAAACTAAAGAAGAGTTTCGGATAAAAGCAGAACAAATGGAAATTAAACTTGAAAGAGCGTCTCAGCTTCTTGATGGACTATCTGGAGAGAAGGAAAGATGGCAACAAACTGTTGAGGTATAAAGAAATCAACAAAATTATTGTTCATTATTAAATTGATGATAATTATTGATTTGTAATTCAAGAATTAAATGTGCTGAATAGATTTTATGTATCAGTTTCCCAATTATACATCATCTTAACAAGCTCTAATCTAGGGTAAAATCTAAATGTCTGCAGAAACTGCTCGTTGCTTTTTGCGTTTTAATGGTTTTTGAGATATTTTCTTCATTGTTAATTATACGTATCGTTATGTTCAAAAGACGTTTGTAAATGAGCATCGGTTACGTAAGAGAGGTTTCTGGAACAATTCTAAAAATTTATTCACAGATTGGATTTGAAAAAAATCAGCATTTACTAAATTTTTACTGGCTTCAAAAACTATTTTTTCTATAACCAAAAAAATAGCTTAATTAGATTTTAGAACTTCAAGTAACAATTAAGACTAATGTTTTCCATTGACGTGTAAAAAACTCGAAGTGAATCCACGGGCGGCGTGATGGCTCAATGGTTAAAGGCGCCTAGTCTTGCTATTGCAATGATTGGGTTCGAATACAAAGAGATACCCGCCTATCGTATGCAATGTGTATAATGCGCGGTTTGCACGCGTATTCATATACACTGTGTGTGTTTGTTGTTGAAACCTCTGAAGCAAACGCAAAAAGAGAGAGGTTGTGTTGTTGTTGCGTTTTGTTAACCTTTAACTTTTAACGTTTGCTTTTGATGTTCTTTTTCAAATTGAAGTGTCTTATAAATTAGGATTTTAATGGCTGATTCATTTAAAAATTGTAATTAAAGATTTGTTTCAAATATTGTTGATTTTCTTTGTCATGTTTTTCTAAATTATGTAGGTATTTTGATTTCTGATTGTTTTAACCGGTAAAATGATTTCAATGACAGTTGATAGCTGCCGATTGTCAATTTTTTGTATGGTTAGAAAATAAAAATATAGGCGGCGCGATGGTGTAATGGTTAAGGTGGCTAGCAATGTTGAAGCATTGCCGCGTTCAAATGTAAAAAGATCCCCGATTTATGTTTGTTTGTTGTAATAATAATAATAATGCGCTGTATAAAATGACATTTTTACTATTATTATTATTATTATTATTATAGGATATTATAATAGGATATAACAGGATTTTTTTGTGTGATAGAAATGCAAATTAAGTGAACCATTTAAGACTAATCTGCTCTCGTGGTACACATTCTTTTTATAAGATGACGAGCTTCGGAGATTATTTCATGACATTTTACTATATATATTTTTTAATTTTGATTTATGTATGTTTTTACGATGAAAATAAAAAGGTGTTCCCATTATTATTATTATTATTATCATCATCATTATTATTATCATTATTATTATTATTATAAAACTACGAGACCATTAAAACTCACAGTCAACAACTCTCACTTCAACAATTCAATAAAACAACTGAAAAAAGAACTGAAACAACTTAAGCTATTGGGTCAAAACAACCAGCGCTTTGACAGTCTAATAAGCAAAGCAAGTAAAGCGATAAGATCAAGAATAGCATCAAAAAAACATCAAAAGATGCACTCCAAACGAATGACATCACAGTTCAGCTCAAGAAACGATTTTGGCCTTCATGTAAAAAAATATTCAACCAAACAACGAATCTGAAGCCACTTTTTAACGTCATCGAGGGCAATAACAAATATTTCCATTTAATTCTCGACGACCCGCACCAAAAAAAATCAGCTACCCAACTGGGTTCCAAAATTACAACAACCTTCACCACCCTGCCACACTAGCCCTCCTTCTTATCACAAAATCTCGACAATAATTCGCAAATACAAATCAAAATCTTCTCCATGTACGTTTGACCAAATTTTTATAATCCCATTTAAAAAATGCCCAATATTACGCACAATTCTCCACAAACAGCCAGTTAAATGCTGGATATCCTGCAGAATCCCAACTTGTTGGAGGAAGGGCTTCACAATTCTCATCTACAAAAAGGGCGACGCTCATGATCTATCAAATTTCAGACCCATAACTTTGCAACCTACATTATACAAAATATTTTCATCATTCATCAACAACAAAATTTATAACTTTTTCAAAAAGAATGCATTTATCAACACAAACGTTCAGAAGGGGTTCTACCCTAAAATTCACTCACCTTCTTAACGATGCGAGGAAACACCAAAGAACCTAAAATTGATGGACTGACAGAGCGCAATCAACTTTTTACTCACCTTCTCAACGATGCGAGGAAACACCAAAGAACAATAATTGTTTCCCTACTAGACCTTCGAAACGCATTCGGTGAGGTCAGCCACATTCTCTTCACATCAACTCTGGACTATCATCATATTCCATCTCACACAAGCAGCCTAATTAAGACATATACACTATATCAATAACTGTATCCGTAGCCGACCAACTAACATCCCCCATTCCAGTCAATCGAGGAGTGCTCCAAGGAGATCCCGTGTCGTCACTGCTCTTTAACCTCTGCTTCAATCCCTTAATGAAAGTAGTTGAGAAAGCTGAATTTTAAGAATTTGGATACATTTGGGTCCCACAGCTAATTTGAAAGCAAGAGCATGCAATTTGCTGACGATACGGCGATTGTTGCTAACAACACAGAAAGTTCACACAAATTAATTAACTTGAATCAGGCATGGTGCACAGCGACTGGAATGAGTTTGAAGATTTACAAGTTTTCCTCATTTTTGATCAGAAAACGAAACGGTGTTTACGAACAGTTCCCTCCGGTGCTATCCATTAATGACAAACATATCCCTCAAGTTGTCATTGGAGGCCACTTCGTATATCTTGGTAAATTGTACGACTACGAAGGAAACAACACAGAGACCAAAAGCCAAATGATCAACAAACTGAAAACAATACTATCAACTGTCACTGAATTAAAGAAAATATTATAACTAAAATACAACTAAAATTGAAAATATTAAGATGCTACCTTCCATCACAGTTTGCATTTGAGTTTCGCGTCTACAACGTTTTGCTAACCTGGATTGAAACGTACCTGGATCCACTAGTTACCGATACGGTTAGAGCATGGTTGTCATTGCCAATTAGCAATTAGCTTGTCGCTCCCCAGTAAATCATGAGGTCTAAACGTTAGATCACTCAAAAACTTTGCCGAATCGTTACGATTGAAACTCCGAAACTATCTGAAGTCAAACAGCAATGATGAACTAAAGTGTTTATGGAGTAAGTCGTACAACAGCTACACAAAGATTGACAATTTGCTTCCGGACACAAAGGATATCAAACCGACACTTGAAGCGCTAATGACTCAACAAGAAAATGCAGGACTAAAACATTTGCTGTCGCTCCACTGCCAAAGGACGGTTCTGAAATCGATTAAAGACCACATTTCCACGACTAGAATTGCTAACTGATCGAAATTCACTGAAAGTCTACCAGACACCCTATTCAAATTCGTCAGGAAAAGTTTCATCCAACAGCTCCCCACGAATGCTAATCTGTTTAGATGGGTGAAATCGTCAACTGCCTTTTGCCAGCTCTGCAATGCAAGGCAAACCAACAAGCATGTTCTGTCCAACTGCAACTCGATGGTGGCACTGAATAGATACACTAAACGCCACGACAACATTTTGAATATAATCGTAGAAAAACTAAAATTGTGTGCGGCACGAACTGCAAAGATATCCGCTCACTGTCGTCTTTCTTCAGGACATTACGTCCTGACATCGCATTGCTCCGGGGCAACACAATCGAAATATTGGAACTGACGGTCTGCCACGAATTGAACTTTCTTAACTCCAAACAATATAAAATATCTTAATATTCTAATTTGCAAAATAATTTACTACACGATTTTCAACATTTAAAAATATTAATGAACACTTTCGAAATTTCGCGCTAGGCTTTTTTAAGTATTTCAATTTGACATTAATCGACTTAACTTGGTCTGACCAATTTAACAATAGTCTCATGTACTCTGCAATATCGTCATCGTAAGCCATTTATTGTGACAAAAATACTAATTGAATGCATCATTTAGAACTAATCTTTTATCTTCTTTAGGATGTCGAGCTTCGTAGAATATTGTAATTTTTAATTTTAAAACAATTTTACTTTTATTAAATTTTAATTCACTAACGATTCTTTTTAACGTGTGATTTATGATGAAAATAAAATGATGTTCCCGTTTTTATAATAATTATTATTGTTGTTATAATTATTATTATTGTTGTTGACGACGACATGCCTACCTTTTTTGGTTCTTTTCGTTTAAGTATTTAATCTAACTTGGTCAGTCGAACAAGTTTAATAGGTTTATAAATGTTAATATTAATTAGTTATAAAATGTGACATAAAAATTATAGACATTTACAACTTGCATGAACTTCATCTATAAGCTTGCTTTTTTTACTTAACAGCTTAGCCATTAGCCCGCTTGTCAGCATTCGCCGTTTTACATTGTATAAAACGATTTTGACATTTTTTTTTGTGTGTGCAAGCTTTCAGAAACAGCATCAATATTGTTGACTATCCAAGCGCCCATAAAGCTACACATAGGACGTTATACAAACATTCAATTAATCTTTGTTTATAGTCTCCATCCGTTATGGGTCGGACTTTTTTATTCAATTTATCAGCTTTTGTCTACAAGCCGATCTATCTATTGCGTCTATCTATTGAGACCAAGTGCCTTAAAGACCTCCTGTACGGTCTGCGTCCAGGACTTTTTTGGCGAACTGGGTATTCCAGATCTCAAACTTTCTGGCTGCATCTTGTTTCGAGGCCGCCGTCAGGACGATATCATCTGCATATATCACATTCCATATGTTAACCGAGCCTATCGGTTTGATTATTTATTCCATCACCAGGAGGATATTGATCCCTGATGGATGCCAACGTTAATGTCAAATTCATTCGTGTTACCGGCTGTTGTGCTGACCAGAGTTTATGTGTTAAAACGCCTTAAAACGGCTTTTTAACGACACTTGTTCTCAGGCGTTTACGGTAGAAAGGGCTTTTTTGAGGAGGAGACATCTATTATAATCAATTTTTGCCATTTTTTAAACATTGCCATGTAAAATCTCTAATAAGTTTTCAAAAAAAAATCTTGTCGGAACAACATTAAACATTTTTTTAAACACGAAAATTCAATCCCAAAAATTCACATAAATTTTCAAAAAAATAAGACGTTAACTCGTCGTCCCTCGTCGGAAAACTTTTCAAAAATTCCAAAATTTTATAATTATGCCCGTATAACTCCTAATAAATTTTCAAAAATTATCTCATTCATAACAGATAGTATCAATGGTGGATCTCCCTGCCATGAAACTGTATTGGTAACCACATTTTAAAACGCACAACTTTTTCAACTTTCAGGGGTGTTCCAGAAGACGTATAACCCGGTATGAGAAGTATTTCAGTGGGTCTCTTTTTTTATATATCGGCATAGTTGTGCTACTGTTCAATCCCACTGGTAGTATCGATTTACTTTACATCTCCCAACAGATGTGTAAGAGAGCTCGGAAGCCTGTCCACCAGATATCATTTGTAAGTCCAGACGGACCAGCCGCTTTACCCTTCAGCGCATTATCTTTAGCGCATCCGTTAGCTTATCAACTGTGATGCCCTGAATCGGTCCTTCCACCGTAAGTGCATCAAAGTTCACCCCAATAGGGTTTGTTTCATTCAATTACGGGTCGAAGTAATCCTTCCAGTAATTCTTCACTTCATTCACTTCACTTCACTATATCCTTTTTCATTCTTTTGACCGGATTTGCTATTCGGTAGAGTGACCGAGTTTGCCTTTACTTCCAGTCAGCCATACCTTGCATTATCCGAACTCATCATTCAAAATAGTCGTAAGAAAATAACATTACCTCCGGAACACCCATCAATCACTCGCACAAGTCAATTAAAAATATTAGGCATCACATTCTCCTCCACACTTAATATAGCACCTCATATCAATCACATCATCACAAAAGGCTTTCAAATATATCACGCACTCAAAACACTTTTCTCACATAGTCTCAGAGGCATCAAATTATTCGACATCACTGAATCACTCATGATCTTACGCATCAAGTATGCAGCTCCTTCCTGGTCTGGTTTTGCTACACAACAACAACTTCAACAAGTACAATCTCTCATCAAAAAACTAATCCGCTTCAACTATCTGCCTGCATCATTATCCTACTGTCACTCTGATATTCAACACACTCGATTCAAGACTGTTCACGAAAGTAGAAAATAACAACAACCACGTCATTCATCCTCTACTACCACCAATTAAAACTACGACACACAACCTTCGTCAATGCAAACATAACTATCATGTCGCACCCAATCTACATATCAGGAAAAGACTTTCATCACAAAACATCTCAAACATGTTAACACTCAATAAAACTTTATCATTCACACAACTAGTTTTTATTTATTGCTCTTCTCACTAACTCACTAAGTCATCATCTAGTCTATTAATTTGCGTTTTTATGCCATTACTTCATTTTATTGTCAATTTATTATATTTTCTATTGTTTAATTTACTTTAATTATTTATTATTTACTTTTTTCTATTTTATCTTATTTAAAATCAATCAATCAATCTTTGTTTAGCGTCCAGAGACCCAGTTTTCCGAGGTAGGACGTTGTTTTCTTTGCCATCAATTTTTTGCGCCAAATTAGACGATCAGTTGTATCCATTTCATTTAAATTTAAAGTTTTCATGTCTTGCTCGATTGTTTGCAACCAGGATTTCTTTGGACGAAGATTGATTGATTTGATTAATTGATATTTGATCTTATTTTTTATGTTTAAACATATTTCTTTCTCTACTTTTATTTATTTATTCTTTCAATTTTGTACTACCGCCTTGCATGCTGTAACAGTTTCTGCCTCTGTCAGATCCTGATTTTTAAAGGAATAATAAAAAAAATTCTGCATTTATAAAATGGAAATAATTATAAGTAAACTCGATAATGTTTTGTGTAGAGAAAAATTTTACATACTTTTCGCTCAAATTGAACAATTAATTTTGCATGCAGCAATTTCAGTTCCTGTTTTGTTTAGTTTTAAGTAAATTTATAATTCGATTCGAATTTTTATTAAAATGATCTTATTATCTGTTAAATAGAATAGAGCTATACAGTTTGCCTAAAAATTGAATGACTGGCCAATGAATGAAATAAAGTAGATTTATGCAACTGGCTGATATTGTGTAATAATTTTTTTTTAAACAAGTATGTTTTTTTAGGTACTAGAAAGTGAAAGTATGTTACTGGTTGGTAACGTAATGGTCGCTTCCGGTTTTGTTACTTACACTGGAATATTTAAACGCACGTACAGAGAAGATATTATTAAAAAAATTTGGCTGCAAGAAGTATATATCAAATTCTTGCAATTTGTCACTAGTTTGACTTTCTTTTATTTTTAACAGATGAGTCGTTTGGATATACCTTATTCTAAAAGTATCGATCTTATAGAGTTTTTAACTGATCCCACAGTTGTCCGAGACTGGAATATGCAGGGTTTGCCAGGAGATACCTTTTCTATTCAAAATGGTATTATTGTTTCGAAAAGTCTAAGATGGCCTTTGTTAATTGATCCGCAAGGTCAGGCATTTAAATGGATAAAAAATATGGAAGGATCAAAGGTAATATAATTATATTTGAATAATTGATATAGATGACTTCAAATTGTAATAAAAATATACTTAGAATTTGAAAGTAGCGGATTTACACACCTCCGATTACTTGAAAATTTTTGAAGGAGCTACTGTCATGGGTGTACCGATGATAATAGAAAATGTTTCAGAAGATATAGATGGCCAATTAAATCCTATTTTGGAGAAGCCTGTTTTACTATCAGGTTCTTAAATAGTTTCAATTACTGCCAAAATTACATTCAAAATTGGAGAATAATCTGCTTGTCAGTCTGTTTTTTTATTAAACGTATTTATCAGGCGCATATAAAAGATTTTGAAATTTTAAAATTCTAAAAATTTATTATCGATATATCTGTATCAACCGAGCAATTGGAAAGTTTTTTTAGACGTACGGTACAGGTTTTTAGATTCTACAAATATGCTGATTACCCCATACAACTTTCGGAGATGCTTTTTATAGTGCGATGACCTGTTTGTTTTTATATATATATATATATATATATATATATATATATGTTTGTTTTTATATATATATATATATATATATATATATATATATATATAGATAGATATATATATATATATATACATATATATATATATATCTGTGTGTGTGTGTGTATTATTATTATTATTAAGAAACATTTTTATAGCGCCAATTAAAATCCTTTCAAGGTCACTATCAAAATAATTTAACAAAATTATTACTGTGCGTAATTGTCACAAATAAATAAATAGCATGCACAATGTCGCCATAGCAATACAGAAAACAAAATTGTTACTATACATAAACTAAATATATACTATACAAGCATAAACATATTCAAGCGGAAAATAAAAATGTTTTCAATTCTTTTTTGAACAAAGAAAGACAAATTACAGGTCTTCTCATTGATGCCGGTAGGCTGTTCCAGATGGTCGGATCGGCAATTGTCTTGCTGGAACCACCAGCAAATTCATATTATCCGACTGTAGATGCGAACTTGGAGTTATTTTGAACTGACTGAAGAATCGCAATTGACCTTGTAGGCAGACTATAAAACAAGCTATTACAGTAATCCAGCCGTGATGATATGAAAGCATGAACTAAACCCTCCATTGTTAGTCTGTCTAACAAATATCTAACAGCAGCATTTCTTAGGTGCGTAATACAAGAGACAGATATCATTTAGATGTGGTCCTTCACGGACTCCAAGATTGGAAGCTGTTATACTGAAGGATTATTTGACATCTCTTATTTTAATGGCATTAATGTTTATCTTTATCAACTGCTGCCATGTTTCAACTGGAAGCAACTGCATCTTGCATTGGTTCAACTTTAATGAGTTATTTGATATCCAATGACCAATCTCCGTCATGCATTCATTATATCTGTCAATTTCATTTCTAGACGAGTTTGGAGGACCGGTGACCAATATCCGAATGTCATCAGCAAAGACATAAAAAACAAATCCATATGAATTGATTATTTTAATTACGTCGAATGTGTAAAGCAGGAATAGGATGGGCCCCAAGACAGACCCTTGCGGCACTCCGGATGACACCAATGCTACATCTGACACTGCGTTTTTAAATGCAACCTGTTGTGTACGGTCGATGGATTATGATCCGAACCATTCGCGAACAACACTAGAGACACCATAAGTAGAGCATAATATAGACAAAAGAATGTTATGGTAAACACAATCAAATGTTGATGACATAACTAAAAATGATAAAACCGATGTTTTTTTTCATTTGCAGCAGCAAATAAATTTGATAAAACGTGTAATATAGCAGTTTCAGTGAAGTGGTATTTGCGATATCCAGACTGATGAATTGAAATTAAATTATTTTTATCCAGGTACTTCAGAAGACATCTCAAGACAGCACGTTCCATGATTTTTGAAATAAACTGCGGATTAGAAATTGGTCTATAGTTCACAATCTCATTATCGTCATAACCAGTTTTTTTCAGGATTGGCACAATTCTCGCATGCTTAAAATACTTTGGTACTTTACCCAGCCGTAGACAGAGATTAATAAACCTCGTCAAGAAACAGATGAAAACATCAAGATATTTTTTAAAAACATGTGTTGGCATAATGTCTAGAGAACAAGTTTTAGAAAGCGAATCCAGAATGATTTTTTTGAAGTCGTCTTTAGTGATCTCTGGAAACGATGTGAATGAAGCGACTATAGGTGATGTATGTTTGATTGACGACGCAGCTGACATACAGCTTGACTTTGTAGATTGAATAATTTTTTTGACTGTCCATAAAATATTGCAAAAAATCTTGAGGTGTGTGTTTGACATCCGTATCCAACATATCATCACTACCGTTACATAAACATTTTTTACACTTTGCCATTTAGCATTTGGATTGCTAGTGGTCTTAATTAAATTGTTCCAGTACCCAATGCGCTTGTCTGAATAAAGTTTATGTTTATCTTTCAAAGAATCTAACCAATTATTGCGATGCAAGTTTGACAAATAAATCCTGTAGTTCCTTTCCATTTTTCGACATTTGTGTTTAGCTCGCAAACCAAGATGCAGCTCATTCACTCTTTTCATAAATCACCCGAAGTGTCGACAATAATTTTTATTTCATCATGGAACGTGATCATTTCATTTTCAACGTCTTCACTTCGGCATGGACCTGATATAGGAGAACTAAACACTGCCTGAATGAACTGAACCTCATTGAAGCACTTCCATGATCTGACAATTTTTTGGTTTTGATGCCATATTTGCGATCAATTGATGTTTTAATTTCTATGAAGCTAGGGTCAGAAAAAACCCCACTTGGAGATACCATCGTACTGGAAATAGGAAAATTACTAGGTCAAGAGTACCACCCAGTATGTGAGTTGGTTCATACACTTGATTTATCAACTGGGATGTTTTTAATATTTCAAACAAACGAATGGTATGTTTACCATTAACTTTTTTGATATGCACATTGAAATCACCCATCATCAAGATGTTACAGTTTAACATTGTAACGTATTCTAAACTGATACCAACTCCTTGAAAAACAAGGTAGTTATCTGTGCTGAACCTGGCCTATATATGGCAATTAAAATCAACTGACTCTTATTAATCATTATTCTGATGACCACAGCTTCAAATAGGACAAACAAAGGTAGCAATAACTTTTTGTACCTGAAATCTTTGCGAAAATACATAGTCAGCCCTCCATGACCCATGTCATGCTTCCTAACATAGTGAACGAACCAATACCCTGGTGGCATCGCTAATCTGACGGAATTGTTACCAACCGTACCATGCCACGTTTCAGTAAGCACCAAAACATCTAAACCATCACACATAAGCCCATGAATAACGTTAACACTTGACCCAATTGACCTCACATTCAACAACCCAAGTCTGACTTTGTTTACTAGTCTGCCACCGTTGAATTCATCATCACGCAAGAAAAAATTGTTTATAACCAGCTTAGTCAGACTAGTTAGAGCCAGTTCTACCATTGATTAATTTGATTTTTGTTTGCAGAAAACCGCACTATCTTCCACCTTCCCACATTTCCTCTTACCCGGGATAAAAAAAAAACCCTCCTTGCATCCCACTTCCATATCTTAGCCTCATTGAGTAATTTTTTAAGTTTAATTCTCTGGTCATTACTGAGATCGTGACTCAACCGGCACTAGCCAAGTCTTCATCCAGTGACTTCATATTTTGAATGTTTTTGAAGACCACCATCTTAACCTCGACATTGTTGATTTTATGAAAATTGGCCTGAGAGTACTGTCACTTTTTTTGCCGAGCCGCATCATTATCAGTATGTTCTTCTCACCACTCTTGTTCCAGGTCAAATAATCAATAATTTTACAGACCCTTGCCTTGTCGTCAAGACCTTCACCATCCATCCATCCATCAACGTCTTTTAAACATTCTTGACATCTGCATTTAGAGACTGAAAGCTTTTCCGCACCTCCCTACTAACTACGTCGGAAAACGATTTATACATTTCAGTTTTCAAGCTAGCAATTTGATCACAGAGATTAGTGCCCGATGTATCTGATTCATTTTCTTTTCATTTGAGTTTATGATTGTTTTAATAGCGGTGACGTCAGATATAATCTTTTTGTTTTCTTCCCTAAACTTTTTATTTCAGCAATTATATATATATATATATATATATATATATATATATATATATATATATATATATATATATCAAAATCACAGCATGTTCGGCGTTAGTTAACTTCCAATTTAACTTTTCGATTTTTCTAACGGTTGATCGTAAATCATCTTCAAATTTCATTAGTTCAAAACCAAAGTTTTGTTTATTTTATGCAAAATAGAACAGAAAATCTCTTTTCAGTATTCTTATACCTTCTTCGGTTTTCAAATTGATATGTTGTTTTTGTGCCCAGATGCCCAAATATATATGTAAATTATATTTCATATAATTATCTATGTTTAGGTATTTTTTGAATTTCTATTCTGTGCTTGTAAATTATGTTTCATTACTTTGGTATTATCTTATATATAAATGCAAATAGCACGAGGTTGTATTTTATTATTGTTGGCTTTGTAAACGATCCTGGAATTTAATTTTTCTACTTAGATTAATAAATCAGGTTATTCGAAAGCAAACTTATATATATATATATATATAAACTGTGCCTCTACTCTATTTTTTTGATTCTTTGTTTGTTTAAAGTAAATACTTAGTTTTACAATCTTTCATTATCGATGATTCCTCTGTTTCTAAATTTATTGATAGGAAGAATTTGAATTGCCCATTGTTGAAAATTTGTTATCAGATGTTTTTGTTCTATGAGTATTGATTCGTCTAGTTGTTATTGTAATTTAAGATTTCAACATTGTGGTCTTTAATTTTAGTTTTGTGTTTCTCTTTCTCTTTACAGCGCCATTTTGTACGTGCATCATAAATCTTCTCGATAACTTGGTCGTCGTCATACCAATATATTCAGAATTATGGTGCCCACACTCACCAATATTACATTTGAACAAATATATTAGATGGCTATGATCCATTATCGATTCTGGTTTACTAGTACAGTTGTTTTTCATCACAAGAGATGACGTTCTTTGGTTGGAATAGTATATTCGTAGTTTAATATTATTGTTTTCGTTGGTTGCTTGGACGTTATATTTTATGATTCTTTTCATGATTTTTTCATCCTGTACGAAAGCGGTTGACATGTGATTCTTATATAATATATTACTATGTTATATTTTACAATTCATCTAATTATTATTCAATTACTGATGTACCATGTGAGTTTAAATTTAATCTGAATAATTTTTTAAGTATTTTGCACATAAATTCGCGTAGTCTCTTGCCAAAGTTAAATGACATTAGTTGTCTTATATCAGATATAAATAATCTGAAGGTAATTTCCATAACGGAAACATGATTAAACGACGATTCTGCGGGTTTAGTAAAATTAGAAGAATTTAATTTTAAATATAGTAATAGAATTTTTAAAACTGGTGGAGGTACAAGCATATTTAGTATTATAAAGATATAGTATATAGTTCGTAACGATTTATTCAGTAAGAATGGGATTTTTGAATGATTGACAATTGAGATTAATTTTGTTGTTAACAAAAACGAAAGTGGAATAATTTACTTTATATATCGCCTTCCAAATACTGATATAAATTTTTTCATTAATGAATTAAATTTTTCGCTACGTAAAATTGGTTCTCCAAAAACAGAATTTACTTGGTAGGGGATTTTAACATCAATCTTTTAAATGACGATTGCAATAAATTCAAACATGGCTTTCAGACATTTCTAGAATCTTTTATATGTAATCAAATGTTCTGTCTTCTTTAGAAATAAGTGTTCAACAGGGAAAGTTTATGGCTTTCAGCGAATTCCAGAATCCGTTTACCGTCTTCGTTTGGAGACCCGTAGCCAAAGCCTTCATGGACACCGTGGAACCCATTTGCTTTATCTCTAACATGGCCGTTTAGGTCGCCACATATCAATGGTATCTCTGATGATGGTGTTTTCCTGACGGCATCTGAGAATGTGTTCCAGAAGTCATTTTTTGGCGTCTTCAGATTCACTGGTCTGTGGTGCATATGCAGAGAAAACAGTCAGAACCTGTTTTCCCATTCTGAGTTTAATCAGTATTAGGCGTGAGCTGATTCAAACTACCTCCAGTATATTTTGTGCCAGTGACTCCCGTATGAAAATTCCCATTCAATTTTGGACTGTCTTTTGGCCATTCCAGAACAACTTGTAACTTGTGAGAAAGACACCATTTGATTTCCATCTTGTTTCCTGCAGAGAACAGATGCCAGCCTTTTGCCTTTCCAGCATGTGGACGATCTTCATGGAGCTTCCAGTAAACGATCCAGTATTTAAAGTGCCAAGTCTGATATTCCAGGAGGAAACGCCCGATTTTCCGCAACATCCCTCCACTGTTGCGTACTTCCTGGATATTGTCACCCCTTGACCATTTAATGTCTTCCAGTTAATAAGGAATCTTTTTTTGTGGTGACATAGAAGATGTTTGGGTCAATAAATTTTTATATCTGGAATTGCCAAATTCCTAACGACAACCACCAGTTATAAGCAGTTGGCCTAGCCTTTTTGCTGGAAGCACACAAGGCAGCGCAGTTGCAGTTTATCTCGTGCTGAAAAGAACACTGTTGTAAGCAGTGCACTTAGCCTTTGGGTCAGAAGTCCCTGTTCCACAAGGCAGTGGATTTAAAATTGAAGATTATCCGCTGTTGAAGCCGTTGTCCTAGGTTCCTCCGCCTTTTTCATCGTTATCTTCTTTCTTCTGGTACAGTTGGTTCGCGGCATCTTATTCCGTATTATTCGATGCAATCCTAGAAGGTTTTCCTGCCTAGAACTTTTCCCTATCCCCCACCTGGGGACGCGCCTCATAGCCAGTGCACCCCAGCATGAAGCATAATTGTCTGCAATGAATAATCAATTTCACTTTTAAAATTTTATTTTTTGCAATTATACTACGCTTTATTATTATTACTTTTGTAATCAAAATAAATAATTAAGAGGTTGTTTTTCATAAATATATAGCATATAAACATCTTGTAGGTAATACAAAATTATTTCACAAACGAATTTTGTATAACGAAATTTCTATATAGAGTTTATATCCTGGAACCATCAAGTTCGTTCTACGGAAGTTAGACTGTATATACATACACTGTACATTTAATTCCGCCTTGTATGAATGCTGATGGAAAAACTAACATGAATATATCGAAATATTGAGAAACAATCAAGAAATTAGCACAAACTATTCTGCATTTATAGTGGCAATGTGAAATTATCTGGAAATATTTGCGGATCTAGGGGAGGCGAGGATGCCCCCGTTATGAGCAGTATTTTCATTAAAAGTCAGTAAAACTCAGTTTTTACATAGGATTGTTAAAATATAATTTATATAGTCAGAAATAATCAGAAAAATATTATTTATTGATCAGAACAATACAAGCGCTCTTGGCTAGCTAACTGAAAAAAAAAGATCGAAGGAAACATATCTCTAAAGCAAAGTAAACAGAACTTATTGTAAGTCATAAAATAAATGTTTTAGAAACACACGTATATATTAGTTCAACAAAGAAAACATCGTTTAAACTACAAAGCTACCGAAATTGGTGTGAGAGTAGAAAAAAGTCACCAGCATAATTTTGGGCCACACTAGAAAAAATTTTGTGTAGTTTCTCGGCTTTCCCTATCAAAGTTGTTGTCTAAACCGCTTTTGTCTGAAATTATTAAATGGTTAAGATGATCTGGACAGGTGCTAAAAAATTTGTTCCAGATGTCGGGATCGGTAATAAAAAGGACGCTTGCTAACAGTTCGAGATTTATTTGTTCATTTGTTTTGGTAGGCCTATCTAATACGCATGCACGCACATTGGGGCAGCTGAATGTTTGCAATTAGTTTAATGTAAGATGCCTGGCGACGCATGCACGGTACAGCTGTAAAGAAAATGTTATTTTATTTAACTACAGTTTTTCAATTTGTAACTCCTCTGATAACACCAAATTTATTACTTCAGAGCGTTACGAAGTACGTTCGGTCATCTTGAGGTGACTAAATAAATACACTTATTCAGATATTGTTTAATTTTGTTAAAATGCGTATATTCTGTATATTCTAATGAATGATTTATAAACTTTTTAAAATTTAATCATGAAATCAAATAACGCAGTCATAAGCAACATAGGTTTAAGTGTTGAAAAATATAAAACGGTAATCAAAAAAACTTTTCTGTTAATGTTTTCTTTAGTTTTTTAAGTTGATTAAACATTACATTACAGAATACAAGAACTTTGCTGAAAGTTTTGTTTTGCATGGCGTTTATAAGCGTTACCACGCATTCATCTAGTGAGTTCTAAGCTCCACTTCGCCGCTTTATTAAGTGCTTGAGTCTCGAAATTTAGCATCATTTTACACTACTTGAAGAATGAATTTCATTGTTTGTCGGTGAAAAAACAGAATTTAATTTAAAATAACTCTAATGGAAATTTTTTTTAGCTGAATACGAACCAGTATTTTTAAATTAGTTAATTTAGTTTCTAGTTTAGAATTTAATTTAAAATAACTCTAATGGAAATTTTTTTTAGCTGAATACGAACCAGTATTTTTAAATTAGTTAATTTAGTTTCTGGTGGTCCTAAACAAAATCTAATGAAATAAACACAGCACGGATATCTTGTATGTTCATTCAAATCATTTTTTGGAGGCGAAAATATGTTCAGTTGCTTCTGCCCAGATTTAGTATTCATTGCTTGTTGGTCTAAAAATTAATACATATATTAGCCGTGAAGCTCTCAAAAACCGTTTAAAACATTTCACTGTGCTGCGTATTTGTCTGTCTATGCCTGTGCACGCATGTGTGTGTTGGATTTGTTTTACCTTTTGATATTTGTAATTATTTCAGATGAATTATATTTATACCTTCATTTATTTATTTATTTACAATCTGTTCTAACTTTTTGTATTTATTAATTCAGAGAAAAGGTTTCTCAAATTTGGGGAAAAAGAAATAGAGCTTAATAACAATTTTCGGTTATACATTGTGACGAAACTTAGCAATCCACATTACTCTCCTGAAATATCTTCAAAAACAAATATAGTTAACTTTGCCGTCAAAGAACAAGGTAAAATTAAACTCATTTTTTAGAGTTCCATACATCTGATATTGGTGAATTTCATTTTTAAATATTTTTCGTAAAATTTTTGTCTCTACCGCTTTTAGTACGTTCTTTATTGCTTTCGTCGCTGCGACGGTGGTAATTGCAGTGGGGTTGGTGATCATCGCCGTGGTGATCGTACAGTTAACGGGCCGGGCCAATGAGAAGTTTCGCTCTTCTTGCCAAAGTAGGTACCGGCCTTTTCGTACGCTCGCAAGTCTTCTTTCAAGCGTTGATTCATCGTATTTAATATTTTATTCATTAAAACACTATATATTTACTTTTGATAAATTTTATTGCTATTATTAAAGTAGTCTCATGGTTCAATAAAACTCGTCAAATAAATTGACAATAAAATAATATTAACAATAATTCTTATTTATATTAATCTATAGAATATTATTAATCTCATTGTTATTATTGTTATTATTATATTGTTATTGTGTTGTTAGTAATTCTAACTTAATTAATCATTAATTAAATGGGAGCTACTGTTGTTCTTCTGTTGATCTGATGGGCTCCGGAGAACTGATAAACACTGACAAACTGATGAGCACTGACGAATTAATGAACACGAACTGATGAACACTGATGAACATTCTTTGTAGTCTGAATCATGGATACGTTCAAAAATAATCTTTAACGTGGTTGCCCGTGCTTGTCTGTCATGCCCACAACTGCTACCTGCAAACGACAACTGTTGTCCTACCTGCAGACCTCCATGCTACCTGCAAATGAAAACTGTTGTTCTACCTGCAGATCTCCTTGCTACCTTCAAACCACAACTGTTGTCCTACCTGCAAACCGGGGCTACAACCTGTGGACAAATTTGCAGCGTATCTATTTCACAATCTGTCCTTGCAGTCTGTTGTTCCTGTAATCCCAGTATGCCTAGTACTTTTAGACTCTTTGCCAGATTAAGAATTTTAAGCTTGTCACTAATCATACAATTTGTTTCAGAGGCGATTGAGAGCTCACTAACAGACTACTTGCTCCCAGCTTTCAAATAAATTTCTATAGCAGGCAATGAATCAATCAGGCAATGGTTAGAAGACATCACACCAGCTTAGTTTTTCTCACCAGGCAATTTAATTTTGACTTTTATACATCTTTATAATACAAGTGATTAACTTGTTCGGTGATCCGCTGCCATAACTGAACCTAAGTACAGCTTGAAAGTGTCAAGTTTTTTTTATTTTTTTATTGAACATCTGAACATCACGAGTTAGCTTGAATACCCTTTTCAGATCACTCCACGATTGACGATAATTTAGAGTTGGAAGATTTATATGGTGACAGAATAAGATAAAGCTAAATGACTAGGATTGAAATGACTAAAAATTAAACCTAAATAACTTTTGCATTTATATATGCAGCAATAAATATGCTTACAGAATGTTAGATCGCAGTCATTAGTCCCTCCCAAATAATTTATTTCATTTGCGTAATTTAAATGATTTCTAATTATTTGATATAAGTTATTGAAAAAAATTATCCTTCTTGTCCCCATATCTAAAAACTATTTGCAAAGACATCTGATAAAATAAACAAAATATGACCCAAAACACTGCCCTGTGGCACCCCACAAAAATCACCTGTATCTTACATTGAACAATTAACTTTTACCTAAGAAAGATCTATCTATCTTCAAGTAATTCCTTATCCAATCCACAATTAAATCATTCATTCTATGTGATAAGATATGAAATCTCTAATTAGAAACATGTACTATACTCAGTCTGACATAAAATCATTAAATCGAAAAAGGTTTTTAAAAAATAAGATGGAGGAGCAAAATATTTTTTCTTGAATAATTGATTTATTTATTATTTATTCAAAATCTACGAATCGCAAATTACAAAAAAATAAATGAAAAATGTAGATTTATGGAGACCAGATACGACTTAAAAGTCTTGTAAAAGCCACCGTGAAAAACAGAAACTCAATATTAAAAGTCTGGAAAAATATCTACAAAGGGAAAATGTCATTTTTAAATGAAAACATTAATATTCAATCACAGTTAATTAAAAACGAAGTCGTACAAGTAACTAAGGAGGTTCATATAATTTTAAGAGTGTCATAAATAAATTAAACAAAACCAATCTAAATAATTAAGTTAATGCTCAGAAAATAAAAACAAGTTTCATCCCATGATGTTAAGATAAGAACATTTTACATGGTAAAATAATCAAATCACAAATGAAAATTTTATCAATGATATAAAAAAATCACATTGAAACTGAAAAGTCTAATATATATTAATAATGTAACAAAATTATTTTAGGGTTGGAAAATCAGTTGCTTGGAGTTGTCATTAGAAAAGAAAGACCTGAATTAGAGGAGCAAAAAGATATCTTAGTTCGTAATATTGCCAACGGAAAGAAAAAAATTAAACAATTAGAAGACGATATATTGCGGTTTTAAATAACGTATATTACATGATTATCATCTAGATTTAATTTTGTTTGACCGTTTTACAGATTGCTGAACGAAGCGAAAGGTTCTCTTCTTGACGATGAACAGCTACTTCTGACGCTGCAAACATCGAAAGCCACATCTCAAGAAGTTCATGATTCCCTGATGACGTCGGAAGCAACTGAAGCTAAGATTGATGAAACAAGAGAGGTGGATTTTCATTATTTTTTACTTTGGTTGAACGATTTACTTTATAAAATTCTTTAATACGTTAGTCAAATATGTATAAACAATGTTTTATTCTTAGTCAATAAAATTTAATTAAAAAGAAAACGTATAAGATTGCGGTTAAATTTGTTCAACTTTAATATTAAAAATTGACCATGATTTTGTTTACAATTTTCTCAACATTTTCAAGCTAAAGGCATATACTGTTTAAAAAAATTAACACTGTAGCGTTAATGTTATTTTAAAGTAATAAATAAATTACGATTATTTGCAGGGTTATCGACTCAGCGCGGAGAGGGCATCTATATTGTTTTTTGCTTTGAATGATGTGGGTGCTATTGATCCCATGTACAAATTTTCATTGGAATCCTACATCGATTTATTCAATTTGTCTATTGATAAATCTCACAAAAGTTCAAAGTTGGAAGAAAGAATTGCACATCTGAATGAATATCACACATATTCCGTTTATAGGTTTTTAAGAAAATATTCTTGTTTTTAGGCTCTTTCATCAAATAATATATAAAGTAAAATTTAAAATTACAATTTGATATTTTATATACAAGTGATCGTAATACATCTTTGCTAAACGAAAATAATCATAAATATACAAACAAAATGTTCTCTGAATTAGACGAAAATTTTAAGCAAATTGAAAATTTCGATACTATACCGACATATTTTGTGTGTTAAATATGTTGAATGTAAGAGGTGATAATAGTGAAAACAAATGAATAGTAGTTGCATGTTTGTGAATGGCTATGATAACTAGAAGTTATCAAATAATTTTGGAAAAAACGATACAGCAATAATTGTACAGTAAAAAATTCTTAGTTATGTTTAATTAAATAAAGAATAGACGAATAAACCAACGCACGTTGTTAAATTAACAAGATAGCAGCCTAGTAAAATGTGGTTTTGAAAATTTTCAACAACGTTTTTAGATATTAAAAAAATTATATATAATGTATTGCCAAGAACATTTTTATTTTTTGGATGGTGTTATTACCAGTTTTTATATTTTTTAGAGCATACTTTGTTTTGGTTTGTTTTTTGATATCAGTTTATTTGAATTTTACTTATTAGAATTCAATAAATTATTTTAATAAAAATATTTTTACATTTTTGTGTAGATGTTTCTATTTGTATTGTTGTTGTTAATCATTTTATACAAATTGATTCAACAGATTTGCATGCCGCGGCATCTTTGAAAAACACAAGCTGATTTTTTCTTTCCATATGTGCATAAAAATTTTAAAATCTGCTGGAAAGATAAATACTGAAGAGTATAATTTTTTTCTATACGGCGGAATTGTAAATTTTTTTTTTTTAAATTTTCTGTTTTTGATGCATTTTTTAAATGTTACAGGTACTGGATCGAGATAATCAAATGGATAACCCTTGTAATTGGTTACCAAATGCATGTTGGGACAACATTACTGAGCTGGATAAATTGACAAACTTTCACGGTTTAACCACTTCATTTGAACAATATCAAAAAGATTGGAATACCTGGTATACAACAGCTGAACCAGAAACTTCAACTCTTCCAGGTTTTTTTGGCATAGATTTTAAATATATAATTCAAACCAAAACGGCATGTTTTGGAACAATGAGAAAAGAAATCGATAAAAATATAAACTGGCCTTTACAAACTTTTATTTATTTTTTGTCAAATCAATCAATCGATAATCTTTAAATTAGAGTTGCACTTTTAGTAATTTACAAAATTAATCAATCTTCGTTTAGCGTCCAGAGACCCAGTCTCTCGAAGTAGGACGTTGTTCTCTTTGGCATCAACGTTTTGTGCCAAATTAGACGATCAATTGTATCCATTTCATTTAAATTTAGAACTTTCATGTCTTGCTCGATTGTTTGCAACCAGGACTTCTTTAGACGGTCTTTGGGACATGTGCAAGGTACTTCAACATCTGCAAGAAAAGTTATGGCACTGTTTCCACTTCGTTTGACATGACCAAACTACCGCAGACGGTGTTGCCGGCATTCGTCCTTTGTAAACCAGCACGACGCAGGATTTCGGTAGATTTGATGGGGTCCTTCAGACTAATTTGTTGCATCCATCGAAGCATTTTCATATCGGTTCGGTGAAGTTGTTGTTCCAGTTTGGTTGTCATTGGCCATGTTTCTGCACCATATAACAACACCGGACGTATCACTGATTTATAAAGTCTTGATCGTAGTGGTAGTGGGATGTCAACTTTGTCGTGGAATCTGGAGAAATTGCTCAATGCCGACTGAATGGAACTATAGCATGACAGTCCCGCTATACAAAGGCAAAGGTGATCCATCGTATCGGGATATACGTCTGATAGAACACTCTCTGAAAATTGTCGAGAAAATCATTGAGAGAAGATTAACGTCGTGCATCAAAAATTCATGCAATTCACATCCTTTGGCAACTGCAAGAAAAGTACCTCGCAAAGCATCAACAACTATCACACATTTTTGTAGACCTTGAGAAAGCATTTGATCGAGTTCCCCGTGAAGCAATCAGGTGAAGTCTACGACAACTCATTCCAGAATATCTTGTTCAACTTGTGATGGAAATGTATACGAATACTAAGACTCTTGTCAGCACAACGGTTGGAAACACAGATGCATTTGACATCGGCGTTGGAATTCATTAAGGCTCGATTCTCAGTCCACTGTTATTTATAACTACGATGGAAGAAATCACAAAACCGATACGCACTGGTGACATTTGGAATCTAATATCAAATCAATTCTCGATTCTTGATTCTCAGTCCACTGTTATTTATAACTGTGATGGAAGAAATCACAAAACCGATACGCACTGGTGACATTTGGAATCTAATATATGCTGATGATATCGTTTTAACAGCCACGTCTGAGCAGAATGCAGCACAGATGTTTGAAGATTGGAACACCAATTCAATCAAGTGTCAGCAGTGTAACCAGTGGTGTCACAAACGTTGTTCAAAAATAATTAGTACTTTATCAAAAGTGTCCAATTTTGTTTGTCTTGCTTGCATCAATCCAAAACAACAAATTTGAAATAGCACTGTTTTTGAAGCCATTAAAGGTAGAGATAGTCACATCGTTTCAATATCTAGGGGATGTTCTGGATTGTACTGGAACATCTTCGTAGACGACATCTTCATCATCTCTCCAACCATCACCGATATATACAATCTACAAAATATGTTTCTAAATAATTCTCATCTAAAATTTACAATAGAATTGAGTGTTGACAAACGTCTTGCGTTCCTTGACTGTTTGGTAGAACAGAAAGACGAACATTTACTTACCAAAGTGTACGTCAAACCTTCCAACTCTGGTCAGGTCCTAAACAACACATCCGACTGCCCTACACGTTACAAAAACAACGTTGTTTACAACTTCATTCACAGAGCATACAAAATTTCTTCTGACAACGATATTTTTAACATCTAATTAGCCCGCATCAAACAATTTCTGATCAACAACTACCCAAACAAAATAGTCGACGACTCAATCAAAAATATCTCCTGAAAGTCAACAGTAATCCACTCACACAAAAATCTCAAGAAGTATTAACTAAAACAGTCATACCATTATATTACAGAAATCAAATACATGACAACTAAAGAGTCGATGAATCGCAAATTAAACGCATCATTCAAAACAATATTACCGTCTGTGATAACAACAAGCGTCTACAACTCATCATGTATTATAACACAAATCGCTCATCAAACATCGTTATAAAAAAACAGCAATAACCCATCATTACCTGCGTCGGAGAGGACAAAAGTTGTGTACCGTTTTACGTGTCCTGTGCCACACTGCGTTGCGGATAACTACATCGGTCACACTCGTACTACTCACTCCCGCAGGCTCACCTTACATGTACAGGACGGTGGCATTAAGGACCATATGTTTAATGCGCACCGCACGAACCTCACCTCGAAACTAGCCATACTCAATGCGAATACCAAGATACTCGACACAGAAACCCACCCGGATAGGTTTGTCACTAATCGTCGAAAATCCTACGTCGTCGCGTCACTCACTACCTTATGTGATAATTAATATCCATGCCTTGCTTTATTTACAATCGATAATTAACATACATTACTATTCCACCTATTCACACATTAGCATAATATATTTATTCATATACACTCGTACCATCCCACCACTCCAAACACGTTTCGTTGTCATTCCAAACTTGCAATATCGATATTCGTACTTCTACCTTCACTTCCAGTATTTAACTTTTGAAATTAATTTCACATATTTTGTATCCCTATATTTTATTATCAGTTATCTTAACATTTAATTTATTTTATTGGCAAGTTAAGTACCTTTACTCAAATTTCCTATACTTTTTACATTAATTTTAATTTAATTTCCTTAATCATTTTACGCTTATATTTTCCCAATTTGGTTCGTTTATTCTTTTTGATTTTACAATTTTAAATATTCAATTCGTTTTTAATAATTTAAACGTAGGCTCTGATGATGACATACGCTGTCGAAACGACGTCGTCAGCCGATCGAAATGCTTGACCAGTTTAATAAAATTGAGTTACAACAATTGCGTCTTATTGAACAAACCCAAAAGAAATTAATTAATACAAAATGGGCAAGAACATTCAACCAAATTTGTTATAACAAAAACTTCGTGCTAAACTATATATATATATATATAAATATATATATATATACCATGCCATATATATATATATGGTATGGTATGGAGAATTTATATAGCGCCCCTCTATGTAAAACTCAGAGGCGCTGTTCGAGAAGCTGCCGATCAAAAAAGTGATGTTTAAGTCGTTTTCGGAACATGTCTCTTTCATCCATACTATCAACGACATTATCGGGCAGTTTATTCCAAATTTATTGCAGCCACTGAGAAACGACGCCGTCCATAATTTTCTGTCCTGAACCTAGGAACCTGGCAGAGGATCTGAGTTTTTGCCCCCAGCAGCCGTAGGGACAGGCACGATCAGCTGTATATCTATATATATATATATATATATATATATGTATATCAGCATATATGTATATCTATATATATGTATACCTATATATATGTATATCTATATATCATATATGTTTATCTATATATATGTATATCTATATATATGTATATCTATGTATATCTATATATATATATATATGTATATCAGCTGTATATCTTTATATATATATGTATATCAGCACGATCAGCTGTATATATATATATATATATATATTATGTTTAGTTTTTCAATTTTTCTAAAGATTGATCGTAAATCATACTTGATTCTCGTATCAAAAAGAACACCGAAGATGGTATAGGAATACCAAAAAAAGCTTTATTGTTCTATCTTGCTAAAAATAAATAAAACTTTTGGTTTTGAACCCACATAAACACACAAAGTCACTGACCATTGAAATTCACCATACGAATGTGTTGTGAAAGCTATCAATCGATCAGTTTGTTTCTAAAGCGCCATTTCAGCGATGCTCAACAGCGTTTTGCAAATAAATGGATTATGAGATCCGCTCTGAACTTCGTTAATGAAGGAGAAGTGGTTAGAAAAGAAGGTAGAGCAGAGAGTTTCAGAGAAAATGATCAAAAAAAGCAAAACCAGATTTAGCGTAAGAGTGTTTAAAAGGAGTTAAAAAAGGAATAAGTAATTTTTAGCATAGGAGTGTTTGAAAGAAATTAAAAAAATTGATAAGTAATTTTTACAAACTCTAATTAATCAAAATTGAATTTTGAAAATTTTTAATTTCTAAAAAATATTTTGCAGGAGAATGGGATATATCTTGTAATGAATTGCAAAGAATACTTATTGTAAGATCAATTAGACCTGATAGGGTCTCGTTTTGTGTAACATCGTTTATAACGAATAACCTAGGATCAAAATATATTGAGCCACCTATTTTGAATTTTAAATCAGTTGTCGAGGAATCTACTTGTAAAACTCCATTAATTTTTATACTGTCACCTGGAGTTGTAAGTTTTATTTTTGTTTAGTTTTTGTTTTCATCAATGCAACTTTATAACGCAATCCAGGACCCTACAAATGACTTGATAGCTGTAGCTGAATCTAAAGGAATGTTTCCAAATAAATTTTGTTCTCTTTCCTTAGGACAGGGACAATCTTACCAAGCAACTCACATTATTAAAAAAAGTATCAAAGAGGTATGCGTTTGATTATGCAAATTGATAGTAGTATACGTTTTTCTTTTCTTATTATAATGTTGTATTAATATTCTTTTTGTGTTTTCATACATACTATTTATGTTAAATTAATTTTAGAATGTATATTGTCTTGTCGTAAAAAAATAAAAAATGCTTCAGGTTATTATTTTGTACAACATATGAACATGTTTAAAATTTAAAAGCTTGTTAATCTTTGCTATTCGTTGTTATGGTCCTTAATTATTACGCCACGCTCTATTGATATTCTTTCTCTCTCTCTTTCTATATATTTTTTTTTTATTTACACATTTTATTAACCACAAAAAATGGCTTGGAGACCATACAAGCTTATTAAGCTTTATAGGCCACCAAAAAGAAAAAACAGAAACAATTTCAAAATTATCAAGCGAATATAACATAATTTGTTCGTACAACTGTTTGACACAAAAGCATAGCACACTGCACATAAATTAAACGTTCGTAAAACAAAATGATAATGAAATGAAACTAAAATTTGATCCTTGTAGTGTTATCTATAACGTGTACAACAAATTATAATTCAAACTAAGGCCAATAAATAAGTACTAACATACATTCATGACATGCATTCAAAAAATAACAACATAAAAATTAAAATGTTCAATCATATGATTTTACATGAATAAACAACAAATTGAATTCAAACTAAGTCCAAGAATAAATATCAACATACATTCAAGACATACATTCAAAAACCAACAGCAATAAACTCAAAAATGTTCAATCATATTATAACAGCATATTAAATTTGAAATAACAAAGATTATTTGGAGACATATAATAATATTTTACTAGAAAATCAGAAATGCTATTTAATAATTTGAACTCTGAAGGTAATCCATTCCAAAGTGAAACCCCGGAGAAGAAAACAGATAATTTATAAATTACTAATCTAGGGTAAGGTTGAACATAATCATTCATTTGTCTTAAAACACGTAACTTTTTATCAGGAGCTTTAAAATGAATGGACAAATTAGGAGGCAATAAATTTTTATATAATTTAAACATAAATCTTAACAGACCAAAATTATATATTTGTTTAATTGTTAATAGATTTTAGCTTCTTGGTAAAAACTTGAGACATGGTCATACTTTTTCAAGAAAAAAAGACATCTATCAAAACTATTATAGGCCAATCTCAAAGAATTGGTCGTGCAACTATTACCCCATAATATTACGTAATATGTTAAATACGGATAAATTAAACTGTAATATAATTTTTTAGTGACATCAAAGCTAAGCTTGAACCTCAATTTACGAATGATACCAGTAATTTTAGAAATTTTACTAGATATATGCATTATATGATTTAACCTATGATTTAACAAATTGTCTGTATATACAAAACCTAAAAATTCATTTGTATACACTCTTTCAATACTGTTATTATCAATTTTAATAGAAATCCCTAAATTATTAGTAACAATCTTAGAACCAAAAATCATATAGTTTGTTTTTTTATAATTTATATTTATATATAAGTTATTTGATTGGGTGTTGAGGAGAGAGGAGGAAAGTGTACTGCAGAGGGCTGAAAGAGCTATGGTGAGGATGATGTGTGGGGTTAAAGTGAAGGATAGGAGGAGTAGTACAGAGCTGATGTCAATGATGGGACTGAATGAGGACATTGTGACATTGATAAGGAGATCGAGATTGCGGTGGTATGGACATGTGTTGAGAAGGGATGAAAGGGTCGGGATTAGGCGAGCGTTGGAGTTCGAGGTTGAAGGAGTGGTAGGAAGGGGTCGTCCGCAATTGCGATGGAGAGCAGGTGGAGAAGGACAGGGTGAAAGCGGGGTTGCGTGATACTGAGGCGAGTGACAGATGTGGATGGCGTCGAGGGGTATTTCGGTTTCATTATAGGTAGCCAAACGGCAACCCCCGATCTCGGGGAAAATGCCGTCTAAACGTGTGTTGTTGTTATTTAAGTTATTTGGTTTAAACCAACTGCATATTTTTTCCATTTCAGTGTTATATGTATTGACCACAGTATTAATGTCTTTGTCAGAACATAAAAAAGTGGTATCATCAGCAAACAATATACTTTCAAGTGATTTACTGACAGTGGATAAATCATTTATAAAAATTAAAAATAACAAAGGCCCCAAAACTGAGCCTTGCGGGACACCAAATTTAATCAAAACATTCGATGACCGATGTTTACCCAAAGCTACATATTGTTTACGATTTGATAGATAACTTTCAAACCATCTGTGTTGTACTCCACGAATACGAAGAGATTGTAATTTCTTCAACAATAACGCAGGATTGATAGAATCAAACGCTTTAGATAGATCTAAAAATAACCCAATAGTTATCGACTTATTTTCCATTTTACTAAGAATTCTCTCAACAAGATCTAACGACGCCAACTCAGTAGACCTACCTCTTTTCTAAATCCATATTGAGGGTCATTAAAAAATTTGATATGTTTCAAATAATTATTTAAACGATTTGACATGATTTTTTCTAAGATTTTTGACAAAGATGGTATAATTGAAATTGGTCGATAATTGGACAGCAGATTAGTGGGACCATTTTTATGTAAGGGAATAACTTTAGCAATCTTAAAGAGATCAGGAAACATACCGGTGGCAAATGATTGATTAATAATATGACTAAGTGGATCAATAATGTTATATACTGCTTTTTTGATCAAAAAAGAAGAAACACCATCATAGCTTGATGAATGAGAACATTTCAATCATTGACATGTCTGAAAATTTCATCATTATCAACTAAATAAAAGAAGTTTACAGTAAAATTTGAGGAAATATTACCTTGAGAACCATCATTGCGTTTAATAATAAAGGTAAAATAATTATTGAAAGCTTGACATATATTCTTCGGATTATCTATTATCAAACCATCTACATTTATTTCACTGATAGGATTATTAGGTCGGGATCTAATTAATTTATTCTCTTTCTTTCTATATATATATATATATATAAATATGTGTGTGTGTGTGTGTGTGTGTACGGTTGAACATTACACCCCATTTTGCAGTTAGAAGTTTTTAAAATAAAATTTCAACAACACGAAGCTGTTTTGTTTCAACTTTATTAAACTGTGAAGTTTGGCTGACGGCCATTTCGGCTAATGCCATCGTCGGAGCCTAGATTGTAAAACCAAATGAGGAGAATGGCCAATAAATACCAAAAATTCAGAATGGCCCCTCATGGTACTTAGACTTGGAACGCTCAATGTTGGATCACTGACTGGCCGCAGCATGGAAATCGCAGAAATGCTCGAGCGTAGAAAGATTGACATCTGCTGCCTTCAGGAAACCCGATGGAAATCGAATGGTGTCTGTCATGTCAACTCAGACAAAGAAAAATATAAACTATTCTGGAATAGTCAAAAGATGGCCAAAAATGGTGTTGGAATTTTTATCAGAGAACCCCTAGCCCAAGAAGTACTGGATATTAGAAGGATTAATTCACGTCTTATGTGGAACAAGCTTCGCATAGAAAAGCAAACAATGATTATTTTTTCTGCATACGCACCACAGACAGGCGATCAGGAGAGATGAAAAATGACTTCTGGACTGCATTCTATGACACCATCTCAACAATACCAAAATCTGAAATAATCCTGATTTGAGGCGATCTCAATGGCCACGTTGGAGAGAAAACAGATGGTTTTGACAACGTACATGGCGGTTTTGGCTATGGAAAACGGAATGAAGATGGCAACCGCATCCTTGAGTTTGCTGAAAGTCACGGGTTTTGTTTACTGAACATATATTATAGAAAGAGGTTGGAACATCTCATAACATACAAAAGTGGACATCAGCCACGCAAATTGATTTCTTCGCTGTCAAGCAACAACACCGAAGGCTATTCAAAAACGTCAAAGTTATACCTGGCGAATCATATGTTGCCCAACATAGACTCCTTGTGGCAGACCTGGTTGTCGAACTGTCAAAACATAAGTCTAAACAAATGCCTCGGAGAATCAAAACGTGGAAGCTGAAAAGCAATATTCATCGAGAAAAATTTCAACAGATCGTCGCAACACAGACCACCAATCGCAAGCCGGTACAGTTTGGAGTACATACAAAACCGTTTTAATGAACGCTGGAACTACAGTTTGTGGGAAAACTGGTACAAAACGTCAGCATGAACGTGACACTTGGTAGTGGAATGACAGTGTACAAAATGCAATAGCTGGAAAGAAAGTTGCATACAAGCAATGGCAAACATCAAAGTCTGTTGATGACCATACAATTTTCCGTGAAAAGAACAACTATGCAAGACATTAAGTTGCACTGGCTCGGACAGATCAGTGCAGAGAGTGGCTCACTAAAAGCAAAGGTGAACAAATGAAATCTCTGTATCATATAGCAAAACAAGCAAAGCATACGAAAAAAAACATAGTTGGTGCCTCATGTATCAAAAATGACAAAAATGAGATGGTTCTTGAACAAGATGAGATCAAGCTACAGTGGAGAGAATACTTCAATCGTCTGTTAAACGAAACAAATCCAATCAATGTTAACTTTGACGCTCCACCCATCGAAGGTCCGATTCCAGACATCACTGTAGAGGAGCTTACAGAAGCTCTGAAAGCTATGAAGGATGGAAAGGCAGCAGGGCCCTCTGGACTCACAAATGACATTATCAAAGCATCTGGTACTGCAGGTATCCAAACGTTACTACAACTTTGCCGTGAAATTTGGAGAAATTGCTCAATGCCGACTGAATGGAGCTATAGCATGACAGTTCCTCTATACAAAGGCAAAGGTGATCCATTGAACTGTTCATCATATCGGGGTAAACGTCTGTTTGAACATTCCCTGATAATTGTCGAGAAAATCATTGAAAGAATCACAATCGGAAATTATCAATTTGGTTTTCTAGCGGGGAAATCAACAATTGATGCAATTCACATCCTTTGGCAACTGCAAGAAAAGTACCTCGCAAAGCATCAACAACTATCACACATTTTTGTAGACCTTGAGAAAGCATTTGATAGAGTTCCCCGTGAAGCAATCAGGTGGAGTCTACGTTGACAACTCATTCCAGAATATCTAGTTCGACTTGTGATGGAAATGTATACGAATACTAAGACTCTTGTCAGCACAACGGTTGGAAACACAGATGCATTTGACATCGGCGTTGGAGTTCACCAAGGCTCGATTCTCAGTCCACTGTTATTTATAACTGTGATGGAAGAAATCATAAAACCGATACGCACTGGTGACATTTGGAATCTAGTATATGCTGATGATATCGTTTGAACAGCCACGTCTGAGCAGAATGCAGCACAGATGTTTGAAGATTGGAACACTAGACTCGCCGATCATGGATTCAAAGTCAACATCAGCAAAACCAAAGCAATGAACACTGGTAAACCCATCCAATCCACAGCTACTGGACGATGGCCCTGTACAGTTTGTAAAGCTGGTGTAGGTAACAATTCAATCAAGTGTCAGCAGTGTATGAAGGACCACATCAAATCTACCGAAATCCTGCGTCGTGCTGGTTTAGATGATATAAAGGACGAATGCCGGCAACACCGTCTGCGGTGGTTTGGTCATGTCAAACGAAGTGGAAACAGTTCCATAACTTCTCTTGTAGATGTTGAAGTACCTGGCACACGTCCCAAAGGCCGTCCAAAGAAGTCCTGGTCGCAAACAATTGAGCAAGACATGAAAGCTCTAAATTTAATAGAAACGGATACAACTGATCGTCTAATTTGGCGCAAAAAGTTGATGGTAAAGAAAACAACGTCCTACCTCGGGAAACCGGGTCTCTGGACGCAAAACGAAGATTGATTGATATATACATACAATTATTTATAAAAATCACTGCGTTTTTGGCATTATTAATCGAATAATTGAGTTTATCTATTTTTAGAACAAGGACTTTGTTTTCGTTTTTAGTTTGTTGAGATTAAACAAGAATTTTTCAATAATTATTTTTAACATTTCCTAAATATGAACATCATTGATGAAATTGCTTTGCACGTCAAAGAAATTGGTTAAAAAATGCAGTCAATTCAAAATCAAACCGCCATTATTTTGGCAGGGGGAGAAAGTTTGATCATATGACCTTCATTTTAAACGACTTACCCTGGCTGACTGTTTGAAAACCAATAATATTTAGAATAACCATCCTCGTTTACGAGTGGGCAAATATGTTGCATTTATTTTTTTGGTTGACAAACCTATGGCAAAAATTGTTTCTCTACAATAAATGAGCACAGTTTTTCGACAATCCTTCTAACTCGACTGCTTCTTGGTGCTGAGACTTTGACGTTGTTGGTTTGTCTATATGGAAGAATCTTCTATTTCGTCTACGTCAGCCTGGTCTCTCTTTCTCAAAATTTAGGACAGATCTTAAATTTCATATTTTCGAGACGTATGATATATTGCGTCGTTGCGCTTTTGAGAGTTTTCAAAGAACTTATAATAATAATAATTGTTAGACTATTTGTATTTAATTAATTAGACTAATGTAAAGCGCTTTGTAAAAACCTTAAAAGCACATAATATGTTCTAGTTGGTTATGTTCAATAAGTTCGAATATATCGTTAAAAATAAAAATGATATTTCACGATGTCGCAATTCAAGCCGCAAACTATCTTATTTTAGATGGGAAAAATTAGAAAAGCTATTGCTTCAACGAATGTGTTTAACACTTTTTGAAAATAATTTTATCACAGTCATCGTTCAATGCGTAGCTTCAAAAGAGCCAGAAACTAGCGCCAGCCAGCAGCACAATCGTTTGAATAATTAATAAATATTTTCAAAAGTGTAAAATAATGTCAAACGCATTGTTTTTATTTTTTTTAGATGAAATTTGAAAATACGATTATTTTCAATCAATTCAAATCAAAAATTGAATTCATAAAAAATAAAAAATTCTAACAATTTGGTGCAGGTTTAACAAAATTCTTTTTTTGTATCAATTATTAAAAAAGTGGCTGAAGTTTTAAACAATTTAACTTTTTCAAATCAACGAAAGAGTTCAAAGTTTATAGTGTTTTCATAATACAAGTGCCGATTATTTCTTGTGGACAGAATATTTGTCGAGCAACGTTGTTTATAAAAGTGCGTAGCGGAATATGAAGAAAAACATAAGGTTCATAAACAAATTCATCATTTGAACGAAAAGATTGCGATGAAAACAATTCGTGAAACCTCGTTTTTGTTAATATCACAAAAAAGCAGCAACAAATTCCTGAAACTTTGTTTAAAATAAAAGGGTACTTTTTTAACTGTCATGTATAAACTGTACCAATTTCTAATGCCTGTGTTTTTTATATTTATTGTTTGAAATACATTTATTTTGAAGGGATTATGGGTTTTTCTTGCTAATTGTCATTTATCTATTAATTGGATGCCTTCTTTGGATAAACTCGTAAAAGAAGTTCAGTCCGAGGAGACTTGTCCCCATCCAGACTTTAGACTTTGGTTAAGTAGCAGTCCTGATTCTCGTTTTCCAATTTCTATTTTACAAATTGGCATCAAAATGACAACTGAACCGCCAAAAGTAAGATAATTTTTTTAATTTTATATTCATTATTCAACTTAACTTATATGTGAATTATGCTGATTCATTTTGCACATGTAAAAAAATCTGTTCAGGATATTTCACTTTTCGAGATATACTTTTAAAATCATTTGCAACGTATTATTATTTTTGGCAATTCAATTATTTTTCAAACATAACTTAATTGTATATAAGAATTATGTTTATTTAAATCAATTTTTATAATGTATGTAGTGCTTAATAGATTATCTGATTTCATGATTATTTTTGTTTCCTTCACAAACGTGGCTAGAGTTTTTAAAACAAGGATATTTTTTTAATCAACGTTTCTACATCAATGTTTTTACAACATTGTAAGTGAACGGACCATCGTTTTACTAACTAAACTAAAACGTATATTTGCCACGCATTTTTAAGCAAGAATACATTTAAACAGTAGCACTTTCAACACTTATCTTAAACAAAAATGCTAGATCAAAATGGTATCATTTGCATTTGATACATTGGAAGTGTTTCACTGCCTATTTCTATAATTAAATGTAAAACAAATTTGGTTTTTTAAATTGTTGAAAACATTTTATTAAAAGTACAGATTCAAAACGTAGTTAAATTAGTTGCGTATCCGTACTCTACATCTAAATTTTTTTTATTTTTTATGAAATTAATTTAGTTACTTTTTATTTAATCAATCAATCAATCAATTTGTTTTTAAAACGCATTTTCCCCGAAATTAGCAGCGCCCTGAAGAATTTTACAAGCAAATGAAGCTTGAGATCCGCTCTAAACTTTGTAGTTGATGTGGAAGTAGTTAGAGAAAGTGGTTGAGTATTTCAAAAAAAACGAACTGAATAACAAAAAAAGCAAATTTAGCGTAAGAGTGTTTAACAGGAATTAAGAAAAAGTGAGAACAAGAAGATGACCGAAAACCGAGACTGGGGCATAGAAAAAATTAATATATCTGATAAGTGATTAGGGAAGTAATTTAGATTTAGATTTATTAGCCAAGCTATTAATCTGAGAAGAAAGAGACATCATGCTAGCATCATAAAGCCTAGACTACAAAACTTATGAGAAAAATCAACAGCTTTAGAATCATACACAGATATATATATATATATATGTTGGTAATAGACCATAATTTTACAATATTATATAAATTCTATAATTAGAATATATAGATTATTGTAAATAGAATATATGTTGGTAATAGACCATATATACAATATATAGAATATTGTAAATATATATATGTTGGTAATAGACCATAATTTTTACAATATTCTATAATTTCTACCGAAAGTTTGGCGTTAACATGTTTGTAGTTCGTTTTTTCGATTCTTCTCACTAAAGTTTTTTGGTGAACGTTTAGTTTATTAAAATTCTAAATAAAAATATTTTCCAAATTCATGCTGCAAATAAGGCCATATTTCGATTCCGAATGAATCATCATTGCGGTTCATCATAGGGAAATATTGACTTTGTCAAAATGAACTTAGATGGAAATTAGGTGTCAGGTTTCTTTATTGGCTGGTCACCTACTTTGGTCTCCTTTTCTTCATCGATAGCATCATATTCTTCTTTGTCACTATTTAACAATGCTAGTTTTTATTACTTCTTTGTTTTCATTGTTGGTTAAGCGTCGGGTTGGGAGTGACGTCAAACCAACAAACTCTGGACAATGCTTAAAGTACAATTCCGATTGTCCCGTAAAATACAAAAACAACGTCATTAAAAACTTCATCACACGCGCTTTTAAATTATCTACCGACGATGAATCTCTTCAAATAGAAATTCAAAGAATCAAACAGTTACTTATTAATAATAATTATCCAAATACACTCATCGACGACGTAATATCTAAATCTCTCAAGAAATTCAAACAACCACATCTACAACCACAGCACGAACAACAAACAATACCTATTTACTACAAAAACCAAATGCATAATAACTATCTAATTGATGAAAAACAAATTAAACAAATCATTAGATCAAATCTCACGTCAGAAGATGAAAATAAAAAGATCAAGTTAATAATATATTATGATACAACAAAAACACAACAATTATTTATCAAAAACAGTCCAACCACTACAAAAGATAATCTAGATAGTACGAACGTCGTGTACTAATTTCGATGCCCTTTGCCACACCGTGATGTGGAAACATATATTGGACACACACGTACAACACTTCGCAGACGCCTTACCATGCATGTACAGCAAGGCGCTATCAAGGATCACTTCAATAAGCAGCACAACATACCAAGTTACTCGAAAAATTCTTGATAATAACACTAGCATACTTTGTAATGAACGTCGTCCCTCAAGACTCAAAATAAAAGAAGCTATTCTCATCCTCAATAATAAACCAACAATCAACACGCAGTCAGACAATTTCGCCCACGTCTTACAACTTTTTACTCAATATCGCGACGTTGTACTGCCTCAATTGCCAAACGTCATCAATAGACAGCAACTACACACCAAATATAAAAACGAATATAACACACAAGAACGCACCACTAACAACAATCCGTTTGTCTCTTCACGCCATAAAACTCAAACAATTTGTTCACTAACTTCATTATTTGCCACGCCTTAATATTTCTTTATACGTATGTATTGCTAAATAATATTATATCCAATTGTTAAATATCTAATAATTCTTCAATAAATTGTCATATCATTAAATATTATTATCGACTTCCCATAATTTCTGCATTACTTCTTGTCACTATGCTAACTATGTACACTTCAACTACGATAATACACAAACAATTTTATTCATAATTTTTCTTTTAAATTTACTCGTTTATTTTCAACGATATAATGGGTTAATTTTTAAAATATAGGTTGTTATTCATTTATTTATTCATTTTAATATCTAATATTCTATTTTCTATTTCTTATAATTTATATTATTAACTCCTCATTTGGTTTTACAATCTAGGCTCCGACGATGGCATTAGCCGAAACGGCCGTCAGCCAAACTTCACAGTTTAATAAAGTTGAAACAAAACAGCTTCGTTTTGTTGAAATTTTATTTAAAAAGCTTCTGACTGCAAAATGGGGTGTAATCTTCAACCGAGCATGTTTATCTGAGAACCTCATACCAAATTATATATATATATATACATACATACATATACATGTATATATATACCATCTTTGAAAATTCAAAAATTTTGGCTAAAGTCATTGACAATATGTACAACCAAAGCGCTGTTCTATAACCCAATAGGAAACATTAACAAACAAATAGATAGAATCGCCATGGGCTCCACCGGAGTACTCTTAGCCAATTTCTACCTTGGCAACTTAGAAAAACAAACCTTCCTCAAAAATCATGAACTAAAACCCTAAATTTATGCAAGGTACGTCGACGATATCTTTGTCGCGTACAACGACAACCCTAACCAAATTATAAATCTTTTCTTTAATCTTAATAAATCTAAAATAAATTTTACTATAGAATATGAAAACAATAAGACCTTACCATTTTTTGATACACTAATCACTCGATATGAAAACTGCTTTTAAACAACGGTCTATATGAAAGAAACAAACAAAGGGTTATGTCTAATTGGAATAAGTGAGTGCATGAAAAAATATAAACGCAGCATTATAAAAGAAGATTCACACACTCCACTTCAATAAGCGACTGCGAGGCAGAACTAATTAGGTAAACTGCAACATCCCAATAATAACAAAAACAAACATGGCGATAATATAATTTTCTACTACCAAAATTACATATCATCTGAACTTAAAACAGACGAATCTGTTCTAAAAAAAAAAGTTGTTTTCAGATAAGTGAAGCCTAGAAATACAGACGATAAAGTAAATCTTAGAATGCAAAAAAAGCAAATTTGATAATAAAGAATAATTGCACGCCTCTCCAAAATTCAACCCAGAAAAGAAATCACCTAATATATGAATTTAAATGCTTTCTTGACGGATCCTTTCGTCAGCCATACTCATATATTGGAGTGACAACTACATCCCTATCACGTCGCCTTACTATGCACAAAAGAGAAGAAGCCATTAGTAACACACCTGAAAACAATAAATCAAACGATCTCATCACGAGAAATATCTGTAAACAATACCATTATAGTATACTGTAACAAGAACCACAGCCATCTAAGAATTGCTGAAGCAATCTTCATTGACCAAAGAAAACCGCAAATCAGCAAATAGCAAAGAATAGCAACATCATTAGTGACTAGAAGAATTTTATTGAAAGACTTTACGGACAAAGAGAATGAACAGAACAAAGATTTAATAAATGGACGAGATCAAAATATAATAAACAGACAGGAAGAAGCAGAATAAAAACACTTTGCACAGGACAAAGAAGAATAAAAAAAACCTTGCACACGCAAAGAATTGTAATATTTTGAAATATTCCTATATAATTGCTGAAGAATCGAAAATCGAAATATACGCTTCACCATGAACCCCAATGATTTTAAAAAATTGGGTAGTTTTTTTTCATGTATATATATATATATATATACATATATATATACATATACATATATATCCCTTAACATACCAAGGGGGGTCCTTCAAGGACCCCAGAGAGTAGTTTTCCTTAACCCTGTCAAAAGTAACCAAACAAATTCCACCATGATTTTTCTATTCCTCCCGATTAGGGTAGCAATAAATATTCCATTGTTGTTTTTATTATACGTTATTTCAAAAACAGTAAAAAAAATAAAAGAGCATTGGGGTCCGTGTAGGACCCCGCTTGGTACACTACGTTACCGATTGTGTTTTTGTTTTTTAACACTTATGGCTGAAATTGTAGACACATTTTAAAGGTTTCAGTATTAAAAAGTATTATTCTGCATTCTTACTGAATATTTGCTCATCTTACTTACTTTTAATTTGTCCTCCATTTGCAAAACTTCCGTTGAAAATTATTATTTTCTGTTTCAAATAAAGTTTATAATTTGCTGTAAAGATTTTGATAACATAAAATATAAACGTAAA